TATGTGGCTGGTGCCTTAGCTACTTGAGCCACAGGCACCCAGCCCAGTTATGAGATTTTAAAAATTGATTAATTAGGCAATTTAATGATCTCTTAGTATTTTGAGCATTAGCATCCTTGTCCTTGTAATTTATTCCTTTTGTTGCCTTAAAAGTAAATATTTGCTAATCATGAAAGGATATGTTATAGATTTTTGAATTTGGAAATGATAACAGGAATAAAATGCTAAATATACCACCACAGAGAAGTTTGAGAACCAGCATGGTATGATACACATATTCACCTTGGAGTGGGAGAACTTGTTTTAAATTCCGTCTGGCACTTTCTTTCATGACCTTGCCTAGTTTATGGTGTACTCTTTGGATTCCTAAAAAGCTTAAATGTGTTTACTGTTAAATGTATATGTAAACTTCAAACCCAATATGTGGCCTACATGTATTTCTTTTTATTTTAGAATTAAAAAATGGTTATATAAGCATATACAAATTCAGTAATATGTATCCATTAAGTAATATTTATACATATATACCCATTAAAATATGATATAACTAACTATATTACATTTGGTAAGGGAAAAATTGATTTTGTTTATTTGTGTTTTGCTACCACCCCAGGGTTAGCCAAAAGAAGCATGCTGCTTAATCTTCATTTCTGATTAAATGTCCTATAAAAGTAGATTCAGTAATAATTCATTGATTTTTTTTCTTGTAAGTACTTTATTCCACCAGATAATATTCCTGCTCCCTTCTTCTTTTGGATGGGAGGAGAATCTGTATTGATGCTTTAGTGTAAGAACACCCCCCTTCCAAGTTCCTGAAAGAATAGACATAACAAATGAAAACTATTTCGAACACCAGATAAAAATATTAAGCTTGTATTGAAGGAGGGATAGAGTTTGAATTTCATTTGTGGCTTTTTTTAAATTTCTGCTTCTTAAAAGTTGAACGTTATTTTTTGCTGAAGGGAAGCACTCAAGAAGTGCCATTGCCTTCATTTATAAAGTAAGTTACTCTCATACACTGAATCCTATTGGAAAAGGGGAGAGAATTCTTATTTGGAAAGTCATCATCTCCTTTTCATGTTTTTTCATTTTTTACAAGTCACTGTTAAAAAAGCAATTCTCTATTTCTCACTAATAGGTTTTGTATTATAGCTGACTTATACATAAGCATTTTTGTCTGTTCTCCTCTAATTGTTAAGTCCTAATTTAACATGCTATTGCCCTTTTTTTTTTCTTGCAGTTTCTGGCAGGGGCTGGGTTTGAACCTGCCACCTCCGGCATATGGGACCTACTCCTTTGAACCACACGTGCCACCCCCAGATGTTGCCCTTTTTTTTCTTACCCCAGATAGGCTTGTGAGAATTTTACTAGAACTTTTACAAGTGTCAAGAACCCTAACATACATAGAGGAAGTAAGAGATTGCCTTTAAGGCTGGGCCTGGTGGCTCATGCCTGTGATCCTAACACTCTGGGAGGCCAGGGCAGGTGGATTGCCTGAGCTTAGGAGTTTGAGGCCAGCCTGACAAGAGTGAGACCCTATCTCTAAAAATATCCCGGCATTGTGGCGGGTGCCTATAGTTCCAGCTATTTGGGAGGCTGAGGCAATAGAATCGCTTAAACCCAGGAGTTTGAGGCAGCTGTGAGCTATGATGCCACAGCATTCAACCCCAGGGCATAGTGTGAAGCTCTGTCTTTTAAAAAAAAAAGACAGAGAGAGAGATTACTTTTAGAGATGCGGATGAGATGTGTTTAATGTGCTCTTCTTTCTCTCCCCCTTCCCTACTGTCACTTTCTCTCTGTTTCTTTGCACATGGGGAATGTTCTGTTGTAGACTTGGCACCTTATTTTATTTCCGAGCCCCTCTCTGCTATCCAGAAACTTGGTGGACCTGTGGTACTTCATTGTTCTGCCAAACCTGTGACCGCTCATATCTCATGGTTGCATGATGGAAAAAGACTGGATAGAAACACGGAACATATGCAGATTCATCGGGGGACTTTGACGATTTCTTCCCTCAGCCCCCCCCTTTTGGGTTCCTACCAATGCATTGCCAACAACAGTGTCGGTGCAGTTGTGAGTGGCCCCGCAAAGGTATCCACTGCAAGTGAGTTTAATTTTCTCTCTGATATATATGATGTTGCTGTTAGCACTTGCATTTTTGAATAGCGGGAAGAGGACAAGCTTTGGTGTGATGCATGTAGGTGTCCTCACCCCAGCCTTGGCTCTCACTGTGTGACTTGAAAAAGGCACGTGTACCTCTGTGAGCCTGCCTGCGTCATCTTCTGAGGAATAATGTGGAAGTATCTTTTCCTCCTTTTTTTAAAGTTTCACATGACAGTGTTCTAATGTGAATTCGGATACTTTCTTTTTGAATATTTATAAGTCCTTAATATTGATAACAGCAAAGAGGCTGTTGTCTACTTTAAGTCTCAGCTGTTTCGTGCAGTCTCTATCTTTCTTTGTGTCTACTTGCTTTATTTGCCTTGATTATTGAGTGCTTTTAATTTATTTAATTGAAACAGGGCTAAAGAAGCAGGAAAATAATAACTGACTATAAAGAAAGGAATGTTGAGTATTGAACTTACAGAAAATCTGGAATGCGTGGTTTTTCTTTGTAAGTTTGAGCCATTTGCCTTCCAAACGGTGATGGCTTCCAGCAATGGAAAAGTCTTTGTAAGGGCAGCCCCATCTACAGTACAAGCCTGGATTTCCCAGGAGCAGTGAGTTCGTCATAACTGGGAAGAGCCCATGTTTTTGTAGAGCTGTGACCCACAGGTAGCACCAAGACACGCCCTGGAGTGCTGCAGGTCTGTCTGCAGTGAGCTGACACTTGTGTGTTCAGATACTCTAAGTGCTAAATTGCTTTGCTTTTTGATGTCCTGTGTTTATTCCCAGAAACTATTTATTGCAGTGTGAGTAGCTGCTAGTAGAATAAAGATTCATAAAGGAGATCTTAAGGTGGATCCCTTGATGAGGGACTGGGTTGAAAAGATTTATCTTGACAGAATGGAAATAATTATGCTTTATAGCTCTCCTAGATGTGTTAGGAGCAGTTTGTATTTTTATGGTGTCCTGGAAGTGCTAACTTATCAAGAAGGGCACCGTGACTTAGGTTACAGTCTTCAATTATGTTTCCTTGCCCCCACTGCTTTCTGGGATGAAAAGACCACCGCTACCTTGTGGGCTGGCATTGGGGCTGCAAAGACCATACTGCAGATGTTGTTTCTAGTTTTTCAGTTTCCTTTGGAAAAGATAATTCAGATTTGCATTTATCTTCTTATTTATTTCAGTTCTTGGTGATTTTGGTTCATCCACAAACCATGTTATTACAGCAGAAGAAAAAAGTACTGGTTTTATTGGCTGTAGGTTACCGGAGAGTAACCCCAAAGCTGAGGTGCGCTATAAAATCCGGGGAAAATGGCTGAAACATTCCACAGGTGAGACTTTTTATGAAGAGCCAGTAGTGCACACAAAACAGATTAAATAGCCTGCTGTTGAGCTCTGTGTGTCTGGGCCCATGGAAGCAAGAATGTGTGGGATGCATTGTGTCTGCGCTGCAGTCATGGGTTACAGTGAGCAGGTGACCGACCCTCCCTGAGGGCTTCTTCCAGCCCCTGCACAGGTCTAGCTTCTTCACAGAAGGGTGCCTCCATGGGCCTGTCTAAAATGGTGCCTGTCCCTCTGTCCCCTTTTATTTCTTCATAGAATTTATCACACCTGAAATTGTTGTTTGTTTATCTATCACATGCCCCTCTCTGCCAGCCCAGAGTCCCCACTGGAACAATGGCTTTGAGAGTGCAGGGCCTTTGCCTGCTTTCTTCCCTCCTCTATCACTTGTGCCTGGGCCACATCAGCAGAAAACAGCACTTGACATGTATTAGTTGAAAAAGAAAATGAGTGAAGTTGGTGTGACCAGTGCTGCGGTGGGGTTTGCCCAGGTGCTAGCTGTGGTCACTGTGCCTCTGAGCTTCTTACTTTCAGATTCCCCATCTGTTAGGAGAAGGTCTCTGCAAGGCTCAGTTTCATTATGCCAGCACTGTTGAGTTTTTTTTGCTTTTCTGCTTTGACAGTCCCTTTCTTTCATTCAGTGATGTCTCCCTGATTGCTCAGTTCATGTCTGAATGTGAGGTGTAGCTGCTAAGCTTTGTTAGCTTTAGCTGTGGTGCTCGTCACAAAGTGAGAGACCTAACTGAACTGCCTTCCTTCCTCAGAGAATTACTTGATCCTTCCATCAGGGAACCTTCAGATTTTGAATGTATCCTTAGAGGACAAGGGATCATACAAATGTGCAGTTTATAATCCTGTCACACATGAATTAAAAGTTGAACCTATTGGCCACAAGCTGCTTGTTAGTCGTAAGTATTTGGGAGAAAAACAGTAACTAGAAAAGGAAGAGTGTTCAAAATTATTCTTCATAAAATGTCGGAAAGTGAGAGTTTCTTTTTTAAAGATCTTATTTGTTTATCAAAAGAATGCCTTACAAAAAAGTAAATATGTTAATGTATTATAGAATAGCACTGTACGTGTATTAAAATATAACAATTTTATAGGAAGGAATTTTGGTCAAGGTGACAATGAATACATATGGGGAATTTTGTCCTCTGCTCAAATAAGAAGGAATTATAGAGGAAATACAACTTTATTGCAGTGGTGATTAAATTGGTGCTAATTGTAAATTACGAAACAAAGAGATCTCTTTCTTTCAGGTATAATGAAAGTTATTGCTGATTTTTAGATTAAGGTACTTGAGAACTACCAGCAGTCAGGACACAGTGGCAAAGTGGCTCCTGAACCTATTGAGAGTCCTACATTTGCAAATTGCTAATTGGGCTACAAACCAATCCTCCACTAACAAGGGTTTAGCTACTATGTAGGACCTTTCCATATGAAGAGGGATAGATGGGAGCATGGGGATACAGTGGTAGTAAGGGCGAGACTGGAGGCAAACACTTCTGATAATCTTTTGTATCTTTTCCTTTTCCAGGCCTTTCTACAGATAATTTTCACATACTTCACCCCACCCTTTCACAGGCATGGGCTGTTCTTTCCCACAGTCCTGTGACCTTGGAATGTGTGGTGAGTGGGGTCTCAGCTTCTCAGGTGCATTGGCTGAAGAATGGGCTGGCTGTTGCTCCCGGAGGCAGCTGGAGAAGGTTGTATTCCCATCTTGCCACAGACAGCATTGACCCAGCGGACTCTGGAAACTATTCTTGTGTGGTAGGAAATGAGTCTGGAGACGTGAAACAAGTGACTTATGTGATTAATGTACTTGGTAAGATGTTAACTTATCAAATGTTTCTTTCAATCCGAGCCATTTTTCTGGTCTAATGATGTTTGAAGGAAAGATCTGTGTGTGAACTAAAAATGACATTGGAAATATCTAGAAATGTTTACACCTATCGCTGGAACAACCTTCATTTTTTTTGAAGGACTGATGAAGTAGGCTATATTTCTGGATCTCACAGAATATTGCTCATGGAATGTTCTTGGGAACCTCACCCCAACCTAGTTCTGTGGCACAGCTTGTTTCCCCTCTTCATGACATGGAGGAAGGAAAGTGGAAGTCAGCAGAATGGGAGCTGCTTGGGTGTCTCTGTGTGTAGTATCCAGTAGCATAACTGAGGGTACTGGCCAGGCCTGGTGGCTCACACCTGTAGCTCTAGCTCTCTGGGAGGCTGAGGCAGAAGGATTGCTTGAGGCCAGGACCATTGCTTCAAGACCAGCTTGAGCGAAATGAGACCTCATCTCTATTAAAAAAATAGAAAAATTAGCCAGTCACTGTAGCAGGCATCTGTAGTCCCAGCTATTGGGGAGGCCATGGTACTCTAGCCTGGGCAACATAATGAGACTGTCTCCAAAAAAAAAAAAAAAAAAATTAGTACTGACTAGAAAGGCTATCCTCAAAAAGAAATCTGTTTTATTTTCCCTTTTGGGATATTTTCACCTATGTCTGACTCATGAAATAGGCTTTATTTCTACTCACATTTCTATATTTTTAACCAGCTACCTATCTCACAATTGTGTGTAACAGCAGAAAATGTTTTCCTTTATCAAAACAGGATTTCTATGAAAACCAGAAAATAATGGGTAGGAACTGATTTCACAGTAAACTGAGTTTTTATAAGCCCTTGGCATGTGTTTGTTTACACCCATTGCCTGATACAGGTTACCAACACTAGAATTAATGTCTGTGTGGCAAGTGGGCTTTAAAATTCAGTGATAATCAGATCTGGATTAATATGCATAATTATTTAATTCAGGCATATACTACAGATGTCAATAAATGACTTACATTGGTGGGTACAGATTGACTTTATAGATCCTGAAAGATGGTCCTCCCCTTATATGCATTTAAAAGCAGGATTGACCATAACAATAATTTAACCTCTGAAGAAATAATTCTGTTTTGAGTCTGTTTAATGTGAAATCCAGAGAAACATTTTTTTTTAATTTGAAGCTAATCACTTGAACGCTAGGAGAAGCCCCCAGGATTAGAAACTATTTGTGTGTGTATGTTCCTGTGTGTTTTGGGGAATTAAGTGGGTGGAGCCATTTGTGAAAGGTTTATTAGTAACATATGGTTCATCGTATTAGTGGAAAGTTAAAATGCATTCCTAATTTTTTCTGATGACCACAGCAGACAGAAGAATGTGAACAGACAACTTGATTTCAACTAGGTACTGGTAGAGAGATTTTGTATGACTTATACGATCATTTAAAAAGTGTATCTTGAGGTGCAGGGTTTAATTTGTATGTTTTATTTTCAGAACATGCTTCAATTTCTAAAGGACTGCAGGACCAGATTGTGCCTCTAGGTACCACAGTACACTTCACCTGTGATGTTCGTGGGAACTCAGTCCCCAACCTTACCTGGTTCCATAATGCTCAGCCTGTTCATCCTGCCCCACGACATCTAACTGCAGGAAACAGGCTGAAAATTAGTGGCATCACTGCAGAAGATAGTGGGCTGTATCAGTGTGTAGCAGATAACGGGATTGGATTTATGCAGTCTACTGGAAGACTTGAAATTCAAAAAGGTAGGGTTTCAGTTCATGTCATCATAGAAAGTTTTATTTTACAGAGAGGCTTTTGTTCTGGTTAAAAATGAAGTCATTTTTACTAAAAAAATATTGTCCTATCATTGTGCAAGTCAAAGGCCAAACTTAAGGATCCAGAAGGCCAAATGTGGCCTTAATGCTACAGATTCTCCACCCCTGGACTAGCTGCTCATTGATGCCCATTTTTGACCTTGGTTATTATAAACAGCTTATAGTGAATGCCCTTCTACAAAGAGTATTTTATACATGTGTGAGTATCTTTATAAAAGAAATTCCAGGAATGAACTTGTAGGATAAAACCATATACATGTTGGTAATTTGGGTAGATATTACTGAATTAATTTCTATAGTTAATTATTAGTTTACAGTCCCATCAGCAACATATAACACAGCCTGTTTCCTCGTACCCTCACCAACCCAGGGTATTTGTTTTATCTTTGCCAGTCTGATGGATAAAAAAGGAAGTGCTTTTCAATCTCTATTTCTTTTTTTACAAGTAATGTTGGGCATCTTTTCATATGTATTTGAGCCATTTGAATTTGCATTCCTGTGCATTAACTGTTTATTGCGTTTTGCCCATTTAAAATTAGATTATTGGTCTTTTTATTTATGGGATTTCTTATATGTTAGGGAAATTAATGATTGGTCTATGATATGAGCTATAAATATTTCAAATTTCAGAGAATCAGTCAGATACAGACCACATTGTCTGACCTTGCTGCAATTAATTTAAAGGTTAATAATAAAAACATAATTGAAAAATCGACATGTACTTAGAAATTTAAAGTTATACTTTTCTTTTCTTTCTTTCTTTTTTTTTTTTTTTTGAGACAGAATCTTACTGTGTTGCCCTTGGTAGATTGCTGTGGTGTCACAGCTTACAGCAGCCTTAAACTCTTGGGCTTAAGTGATTCTCTTGCCTCAGCCTCCCAAGTAGCTGGGACTACAGGGGCCCACCCCAACGCCCGGCTATTTTTTGTTGCAGTTGTCATTGTTGTGTTAGCTGGCCCTGGGCCAGGTTTGAGTCCACCAGCCTTGGTGTATGTGGCTGGCGCCATAAGCACTGTGCTATGTGTAGTTTTGGTTTTTTTTTTTGCAGTTTTTGGCTGGGGCCGGTTTTGAACCCGCCACCTTCGGTATATGGGGCCAGCGCCCTACTCCTTTGAGCTACAGGCACCACCCCATAACCACTGTGCTATGGATGGGCACCCAGTCTAAAGTTATACTTTTCGATAGTTGGGTCAGAAAAGGAATCATAATGAAAATTTAAAATGCTTTGAACTGAATGATAATGAAAATGCTACAGATCAAGTTTTGTGAGAGGGCAAAAATGGAATTTAGAAGGAAATGTATAGACTCTTATGGTTGTAAAAGAAAACGAATAAGACCAAAAATTAGTGAGGAAAGTAAAAGAATAACAGAATAAATTTGTAGAAAGCAGAAGAAAGATAATAAAAATAAGGTCAGAAAACAATTGAATAGAAAATAAAGATAAAATATAGAAGATAAATGAAGATAGAAGTTGGTTCTTTATAAAGAAATAAAATGAACAAATCTTTGCAAAATTGATCAAGAGAAAAGAAAGCAGGCACAAATAAACAATATTAGGAATAAAGGGGTGTTAAGTGCAAGCTTTATACCATGTAGAAATTAAAAATACTAAGATTATGGTAAACTTTGACAATAATTTACAAATACAGACAGAAATAGACAAATTCTGAGGAAAAATATAACTTAGCAATGCTGACTTAAAAGAAATAAAAAGGCTTAACAGTCCTACACCTATGAAAAAATTGAATTAGGAGTTAAAAATCTTCCCACAAAGAAAACATCAGGCCAGATGGTTTTATGGAAGTTCTACCAAACTTGCGAATAACAGAGTATTCCAAATGTTTTACAGACTCATCCAGAGAAAAGAAAAAGATGAAAACTCTCTAATCTTGATTCTAAAATCACCAAAGGGTAGCACAAGAAAGGAAAATTAAAGACCAATCTTGTTTATGAACATGGAGGTAAAAATCCTTAATAAAATATTAGCGAGCTAGGAATAAAATAATACATCTTGACCAAGTAATTATTCCAGGAATCCATCAGAAAATTTTAAGTGTCATGCATCCTATTTAATGAATAAAGAAGAAAGTGATATGGTTAGCTCACTAGAGGGCAGAAATACATTGGATTTAATTCAGCATCCATGCTAGACAATCAGAAATGACAAGGAACTTTCTTAACTTAGTAAAAAGTTTCTATCAAGAACTTTAGAGGAATATCACTTTTAATGGTGAAGTGTGAGAAGCACTTTCTCTAACCTTTCTTCTCATCATTATACTGGAGATCATAACACAGAAAGACATAAAAAGAAATAAGAAGGGACCCCAATTGTCATTAATTTATAACTGAAATGATTGTTAACATAGAATATCCTAAATAGTTTGCTATTATTATGATTATATATCTTATTATCAGAAGTGAAGACCAATGAATAAGAATCAATTGCCAGATGGCGCCTGTGGCTCAGTGAGTAGGTTGCTAGCCCCATATACCAAGGGTGGCAGGTTCAAACCCAGCACTGGCCAAACTGCAACAACAAAAAAAATAGCCAGGCATTGTGGCGAATGCCTGTGGTTGCAGCTACTCGGGAGGCTGAGGCAAGAGAATTGCCTAAGCCCAAGAGCTGGAGGTTGCTGTGAGCTCTGACGCCATGGCACTCTACCGAGGGCAACAAAGTGAGACTCTGTCTCTAAAAAAAAAAAAAAAAAAGAATCAATTGCCTTTCTATATGCCAGCAACAAACAGAAAATACAATTTAAAAATCACTTTTTAGTATTAGCAACAGGAAAGCAGATCCACTTATATAGGAAGATATACCAGTTCATTGATACCAAAATTCAGTATCATGTGGTTATCTGGTCTTTCAAAAAATTTTCTATAAATTCATTTAATTCCAATTAAAATCCCATCACAATATTTTGAGGACCTCGACAAATTGATTCTGAAATTTATATGGATGACTTCACTGGCAGTCTCAGTAACGACAGCCATTAAAGAAGATGGAGACTTTATGTCTTCTGTATTTACCTGAGTGGAGTTAGAACACATTCCTCTTAGTAAAGTGTTACAAGAATGGAAAAGCAAGCATCCAGTGTACTCAATACTAATGTGAAGCCAGTAGAGAAACTAACACGTGCCCACACAAGAAAAAAACTCAATTCAAGTTGGAGGGAGAGGGGAAAAGGGAGGGGGTGGGGGAGCTTGCTTCTAACAGGCACAATGTAAGGGTATGTGGCACACCTTCTGGGTGTGGGTACAACTACAACAGGGATCATACCTAACAAATGCAAACATTGTAACCTAATCATGTGTACCTTCATATTAATCTGAAATTAAAAAAAAATTTATATGGATGACCAGAGGCCCCCCAAAAGCTAAGACACTCTGAAGGAAGAAGGAAAAGAATACAGAGACTTGATTTCAATGTACATAAGATCTGTACTAATTAAGAAAGTATCTTGTTGGTCCAGGAACAGGTAGACTCTTGGAACATTGTAGAGACTGCCAAAAAGACATTTGCACCCAGGGACTTGACTGGACTGGCATTGCAGATCACCACCAGAGGGATTTCTACTTTACGTTTTGATGTGGGATAACTGGCTATCAAAATGGAGGAGAAAACGAAATTAAATTTTTTTTTCTTTTTTATTGTTTGGGATTCATTGAGGGTACAAAGAACTAGGTTATACTGATTGCTTTTGTTAGGTAAAGTCCCTCTTGTAATTGTGTCCCACCCCCAAGAGGTGTGTCATGCACCATGATCCCAACCCCTCCTTCTTCCCTTCTCTCTGTTCCCTCATTCCCCTACCCTCTACCTTGTATTAGATCATCTGCCTTCATATTAGATTTGAGTACATGGGATTCTTGCTTCTCCATTCTTGTGATGCTTCACTAAGAAGAATGTGTTCCACCTCCATCCAGGTTAGTAAAAAAGCTATAAAATCTCCATCTTTTGGGAGGCTGAATACTATTTCATGGTATACATATATCACAGCTTGTTAATCCATTCCTAAGGTGGTAGGCATTTAGGTTGTTTCTACATTTTGGTGATTATAAATGGAGCTGCGATAAACAGTCTAATGCAGATATCCTTATGATAAAATGATTTTTTTTTCTTCTGACAATATACCCAGCAAAAGGATTGCAGGATCAAATGACAAGTGTAGTTTCAGTTCTTTGAGGATTCTCCATACTTCCTTTTTTTCTTCTGACAAGATACCCAGTAATAGGATTGCAGGATCAAATGACAAGTGTATGTTGAGTCTTTGAGGATTCTCCATACTTCCTTCCAAAAATGTTGTTTTAGTTTGCAGTCCCACCAGCAAAGTAAAAGTGTTTCCTTCTCTCCACATCCACACCAGCATCTGCAGCTTTGAGACTTTGTGATGTGGGCCATTCTAACTGGGGTTAGGTGATATCTCAGGGTGGTTTTGATTTGCATTCTCAGATGGTTTGGGACAATGAGCATTTTTTCATACATTTGTTAGCCATTCATCTATCTTCCTTAGAGAAGGTTCTCTTCATGTCGCTTGCCCTGCCCAGTGATGGATGGGATTGATAGCTCTTTTTATATTGCTTAATGAGTTCTCTGTAGATCCTGGTTAGCAAGCCTTGGTCTGATTTAGAATATGCAAATATCTTTTCCATTCTGAAGGTTGTTTGCTTTGGTTGCTGTCTCCTTAGCTGTACAAAAGCTTTTCAGTTAGTTAAGTCCCATTTATTTTTTCTTTGTTGTTGCAATTGCCACAGAAGTCTTCATAAAATCTTTCCTCAGGTCAATATCTTCAAGTATTTTCCCTATACTTTCTTCAAGGATTTTTATAGTTTCATGCCTTAGATTTAAGTCTTTTATCCATCTTGAATCAATGTTTTAAGTGGTAGAAGGTGTGGATCCAGTTTCAGTCTTTTACATGTGGTTACCCAGGTCTCCCAACACCATTTATTGAATAGGGGTTCTTTTCCCCATTGTATGTTCTTGTTTGGTTTATCAAAAATCAGGTTGCTGTAAGATGTTAGTTTCATCTCCTGGTTTTCTATTTGCTTCCAAATATCTATGTCTCTACTTTTGTGCCAACAGCATACTGTTTTGATCACGATGGCCTTGCAGTACAGCCTAAAGTCTGGTAGGCTGATGCCCTCGGTTTTGTTTTTATTACTGAGGAATGCCTTGGCTATATGGGATTTTTTTCTGGTTTCATACAAAACAAAGAATTATTTTTTTCCAAATCTTGAAAGTATGATGTTGATATTTTAATGGGGATTGCATTGAATCTGTAGATTGCTTTGGGTAGTATAGAAATTTTTAACAATGTTGATTCTTCCCAGCCAGGAGCATGATACCTTCTTCCATTTGTTAATATCTTCTGTTGTTTCTTTTCTTAGGGTTTCATAATTTTCTTTGTAGAGTACTTCACTTCTTTTGTTATGTATATTCCTAGGTATTTCATTTTTATTTTTTAAGCTATTGTGAAGGGAACTGTGTCATTGATTTGCTTCTGAACTTGGCTGTTATCGGCATATATGAAGGCTACTGATTTGTGGACATTGATTTTATATCCTGAGACATTACTATATTTTTTTAATACTTCCAGGAATCTTGTGGTTAAGTCTTTGGGGTTCTCTAAGTATAAGATCATATCATCAGCAAAGAGGGAGAGTTTGACCTCATCTGCCCCCATTTGGATGCCCTTTATTTCCTTTTCTTACCTGATTGCATTGCCTAGAACTTCAAGTACTATGTTGAATAGTAGTGACGATAGAACAGTGGTTCTCAACCTGTGGGTTGCGACCCACAGGAACTGTATTAAAGGCTTGAGAATCACTGCGATAGAGGACAACCTTGTCTGGTTTCAGTTCGAAGTGGAAAAGCTTTCAATTTTACTCTGTTCAGCCTAATGTTAGCTGTGGGTTTGTTGCAGATGGCTTTGATCAGTTTAAGAAATGTGCCCACCCATGCCAATATTCTTTAGTGTTCTAATTAGAAAAGGATGATGAATTTTATCGAATTCTTTTCTGGATCTATTGAGAGGATTGTATGGTCTTTGTTTTTGCTTCTGTTGATATGGTGAATTATGTTTATGGACTTGTGTATGTTAAACCAGCCTTGCATCTCTGGGATGAAGCCTACTTGATTGTGATGTATAATTTATTTTTAATTTGTAGCTGTAATCTATTGGCTAAGATTTTATTGAGAGTTTTTGCATCTATATTCATTAGTGAAATTCTCCTTTTTAGTTGCATCTATATTCATTAGTCTGAAATTCTCCTTTTTAGTTGGGTCTTTTCCTGCTTTTGGTATCAGGGTGATGTTTGCTTTGTAGAACATATTAGGGGAGATTCCTTCCTTCTCAATTTTTTGGAATTATTTCTGCAGTTTGGGAATAAGCTGTTCTTTGAAGGTTTGATAGGATTCTGGTATGAAGCCATCTGCTCCAGGGCATTTTTTTTGTTAAGAGATTTTTTTTTATTATTTCTTCAATTTCAGTGCTTGAAATTGGTCTATTCAAGATACCTATTTCTTTTTGTAAGTCTAGGGAGAGGGTACAATTCCAGATATAGATCCATTTCCTTCACATTGTCAAATTTCTGGGCATAGAGTTTCTTGTAGTACTCAGAGATGGTCTCTTGTATCTCTGTGGCATCTGTTGTTATTTCCCCTTTATTGTTTCTGATTGAGGTTATTAGAAATTTTACTTTTCTGTTTCTAGTTAATCTGGCCAAAGGTTTATCAATTTTATTTTTTTTAAAAAACCAACTTTTTTTTTTATTAATTTTCTGAATGATTGTTTTCAATTTCATTAATCTCTGATTTAATTTTGGCTATTTCTTTTCTTTGCTGGCTTTGGGATTAGATTGTTCTTCTTTTTCCAATTCCATAAGATGGTTCATGACTTTGTTCATGCATTCTCTGTTTTTCGAATGTAGATATCTAATGCAATATGTTTCCCTCTTAAAACTGCTATGGCTTTATCCTGTAGGTTTTGGCAACTTATGTCTTCATTATTGTTATGTTTTTGAGGAATTTAACAATTTCCTCCTTTTTCTCTTTCTGAACCAAACTATCACTCAGGATAAAGTTGTTTAATTCTGAAATTAAATTTCTAACTCACGTAGAATATAAACATAAATTTCAGGTAGACTAAAGACCTAAATGTGAAAGACAAAATGGAAGGATTTTTGAGTATTGACGAATATATGATCTTTAAAAAGTTTTAAAACTTTTTAATAAAACATTTAAAAAAGTGCTAATTGAAAAAAGATTTGACAACATTGAAGCAAAAACATCTTCATTATTAAAAATATCATCCAAAACTGAAAAGAAAAGCAATGAGCTAAGAGGGGATACGTAACTGAATAAAAGAACAGTGTCTACTGTACATAAAGAACTCTGTACCATCACAAAAAAGATAAAATAACCCAGTAGAAAAACTGACCAAAGGCATTTCACAGAGGAGGAGGAGAAATATGAATGGCACAGAATCACTCAAAAAGATGTGCAACCTCACTAGTGCCCAGGAAAATGCAGATTCTGACCAGTGAGATACCATTTTACACTCAGGTTGGCAAAAATTCAGAAATCTGATATCAGTGGCTGGTTTTGTCAGACATGGGAAGTAGGACTAAAGAAAAGGAAAGACACCAGCCTGAGCCAGAGGAAGACCTCATCTCTAAAAGTAGCCGGGCATTATGGCAGGTGCCTGTAATCCCAGCTACTTGAAAGCCTGAGGCAAGAGAATTGCTTAAGCCCCAGAGTTTGAGGTTGCTGTGAGTTATGACACCATGGCATTCTACCAAGGGTGACAAAGTGAGACTCTGTCTCAAAAAGAGAAAAAAAAGAAAAAAGACAGACACGCTGGAGGAAATGTCATTCCCTTTATACCACCATAGACTCACTTAAAAATACCTCCTGATAATTCCAGGACCACAAGGAAAGGCTTGGCTGCCACTTTAATTTGGAAAAAAAAAATTTCTAAACAAGAAGAACTTTGTAAGAAATATATGTATCAATTTGTATTTAGAAAAGTTTTTTCTCTCAGGCTTTTTATAATCAGATTCCTGCCCTCATGCCCCTAACTCCCTCAAAACCCTCTAATTGACCATTTTCTTGAAGGAATTATTATCTAGTTTCATACTTTATACCCTTTCATGTTGAAGTATGAGTTTTCAGCTGTGTATGTTTTATCTTTACAGTGGTCAAATGTTGTAGTATACCTATTGGAAAGCTCTTAGAAGATTTCTTTATGTATATCCCTCTCTTTCTGAAGGATAAGAAATCTATATAGGAAATGCCTAGGGGTCCACAACTATGAGAAATTCTATTTTTTGTTGACAGTTTTACTTGGTGAAAGTTGAGATGAGAAAAGAACTTACAAGGAGGGAGGTATCTTGGTTTGATCCTTACTATTAGGTCTATTCAACAGGATGAGATTATTTTGCACTATAGATAGTATAATGTTCTTAATTTTTTGTATGCAAATTACTTTTTTAACAGACAATGAATTCCAGCCAGTTATAATTACAGTGCCAGCTAGTGCAAAGGTGGCCGGTGGAGACTTTGTCACTTTGTCCTGCAATGCCACAGGGGTGCCAGTGCCAGTCATCCGCTGGTATGACGCCTGTGGATTGATATCCAGCTGTCCTTCTCATGTCCTTAGATCTAAATCCCAGAAATCACACTTAGTGGGACCAGGGGGCTCACACCTGGAGCCTGTCCCTGTCGCCCTGTCCTGGGCTGGTTCCAGCACTCTCTACATTCAGGCTGTTGCCCAGGAGCATGCTGGGAAGTATGTGTGTGAGGCTGCGAATGAGCATGGCACTGCACGGTCTGAAGTGCTCCTTATGGCTGGTGAGTGCTGTTGTTGTGCCCTCTTAGTTGCATAATTTCTTTTTACAATAGGGGATGAAGTGATTTGAAATACGTTATTTTAATGAATCTAGCAATCTTTAAATTTATTATTTTCCTGATGACAGTGAAACGTAGAACTGTATTTGTTGGTATTTGGCTTCATGTAAATTAGATAAAACTTGGTCTCCATTTCTGATGTGCTTTTAAGCTCACTGTCACATAGAAAGCTCTCATTTGGGAGCAAGTTCAAAATACAGTCTGTTTTGGGAGTAATGCTTTTTGGTTTTCTAGCTACTGAAAATGGCATTGTAGATGTTTTTCTTACGTGAGCCCTATAGTATTCAGAGTCTAAAAGGTTGACTTCATGGAGAAAGCAGAGTCATGGTATCAGATGTAACCTGTGCGTATTCCCCCATTTTAACCAACATTATTTTTCTAAAGGGATGTATAATATGATGAGTTAAAAGCTTCCTATACTTTTTTTTTTTAAGAGACAGAGTCTCACTCTTTTGCCCTCCATAGAGTGCTATGCATCACAGCTCACAGCAACCTCAGAATCCTGAGCTTAAGTGATCCTCTTGCCTCAGCCTCCCAAGTAGCTAGGACTATAGGCGCCTACTACCACACCCTGCTAGTTTTGTATTTTTAGAGATGGGGTCTCACTCTTGCTCAGACTGATCTTGAACTCTTGAGCTGAAGGGATCCACCTGCCTTGGCTTCCCACAATGTTAGGATTATAGGTGTGAACCACCGTGCCTGGCCCTTTATGTAATTTTTAAATATCGATATCAGAAAGAGGAAAATGGGCTCCAGGCCCTGGGTAAACCCTCCCCTTCACTCCATGGTGAAAGTAGTTCTCTGCCTAGTTCCCCTTGGTCTTCTTGCCTGGCCCATCCTCTGCAGTCTCAGCTACAGTACCAGGGTATGGGTACCTTAGCCAGAGCAGTGCCAGCCAGTGACCAGGCAGAGGAGTGATGGTTGAAATAGAAGAGTTTGGATGTGCAGTCTCCTGTTTCCCTTTATATGCAAATCACGACTCTGTCACCGTGGATGGATCTAGAGGCTGGAAGGGGAGCAGGGAAGGCCAGTGCTCTCATCTGTGCCCCTGGGCTCCTCTGTGAACATTAGAGGCGGGGTGCTGTGGAGGTTCAGCATGCAGGTTGTGTCAGAAATTTGGCCTTGCCACTTAGGGACTGTGTAACCAGGACAAATTCTCTGTGCTTGTTTCCTCATCTGTGTGGCAGGTGTTGTGACAGTGCCCTGCTCATAGGGTTAATGTGAAAATCAAGTTAAGACATACAAAAGGGCTTAGAATGGTGTCTGGCAATAGAAAGCCTTCCATTACACACTATCAGGTTATGATTCTTACAATCCAGTTATTATTAAGTTGCAATGAGCCCTTGTGGTGGTGTTTAGGGAAAGAAGACATAGTTACTGATTTCTACTAACCTTAAGTATTCTCAAGTCAGGAAAGTAGTTGAGTGTGGCATCTGTTCATACATATATGTGAACATGTGTGTGCATGTACATGTGTGTGCTTATATGTATCTATTCTTCCAGGTAAAAATAAGAGTGGCTCTGCTCAAAATTGTTAGCCGAACATCAGATAATAATGCAGGAATTTGGCAGAAAATGGGGTGTAGGGCAGCATTCCCCAAACCTTTTGGCACCAGGGATGGGTTTCACAGAAGGTAGTTTTTCCACAGACTGGGATAGGGATATGGTTTTGGAGTGAGTCAAGCACACTGCATCTTCACCTCAGACCATCAAGCAAAGTCTCCTAAGAAGATACAGCCTCAATCCCACACATGTGCGGTTTGCAGTAGAGCCCATACTCCTTTGAGAATCTAATGCAGCTGCTGCTGTAACAGGAGGCAGGGCTAAGTGGTGGTGGTGGTGTGAGTGACTCGGAGCAGCTATAAATGCAAGTGAAGCTTCACTCCCTCAGCACCTCCTGCTGTGCAGCCCAGTTCCTAGCAGGACATAGACTGGTCCTGTCAGCGGCTTGGGGTTTGGGGACCCCAGGTGTAAGGACTCTTAAATGTTACAGACACAGCTGATGGATCTAGGACAGGCATCCTCAAACTACAGCCCACGGGCCACATGCAGCCCGCCTAGGACATTTATCCGGCCCACTGGGTGTTTTTGCTGCTGCTGCCTGTCCTACTTTGCAGCCAACTTGTCCTGGGGCCTGTAGTCTGACCCTCCAATGGTCTGAGGGACAGTGAACTGGCCCCCTGTTTAAAAAGTTTGAGGACCTCTAGGTACATGTTAACCCCCAGATCTGAAGCCCTTGTAAATTACATAAGCAGCTTGTGCAGCTTTTTCAGGCAACTGCCTTTAGATTCCCTTGCTCTAGGGTTTCCACCTGCAGTAGCCCATCCTCTGCCTTCCTCCTGAGGCTTCTGTGTCACCTCTTCTGCATGTGCTATGCTAATTACTAAGATCCAGTTGAGTTTACTAAAACTCAAAAGAGTGTATAAGAATTGGCTTCTTTGCCCCAGAATTTGAGCCTTATTAAATTTCGACATACAGCCGTTTGCTTTGTTCATAAAGAAAGGGAGAGTAAGCAGTCAGAGAGAAAGGGGACTCCCTCCTTTCTTTTTATTTTTCCCGGAGAGTTTTGGTTTTTGAGGTCCTAGATGTACAAATATTTGTAGAGTGAATTGTAACCCTTCAAAACTACAATGGGAGTTGGTCTGGGTTTCCTAAATAGTTTCGGAAGAGGGTTGTTGGTAAGAGTGGTCACAGTGGGAGCATATTTGACATGTCTCGTACCCTTGCTTAAATAGTTTCCATTCAGAGTTGCTGTTAACAAACTCATTTTCATTGCCATAGTTGTATCAGTCTCTTTTCAGCTCATTCTACCTTAAAAAATGCTCACTATCTATTTTACCCATTTCAGAGGTTTGGGTTTTTTTTTTGTTTGTTTGTTTGTTTGTGATGATTTTACTCTGACATGACTATAGGGAAGAGAGTTTTTTTTTCTTTTTTTTTAACCTCAGAATATTCTAGAAAAAAACGTAATGTTTCATGAATTTACATGTTATGCTTGCTTGGGGGGCCGTGCTAATCTTCTCTGTGAGTTGTTTTGAAGATACGTTGAGGTAATATATATGAGAACACTTTTGGAAGTACTGTTAAAGTCTTTTAAATTGTTTCTAGTATCTTGTGAATGCCTGGATTGTATTAGTGGGAACAGAAGAGGAAGGTTAATTGACTCCTCCTCTTATTAAAAGTTGTGGAAAAGTCTTACTGAAATGTTACAGAAGTGGATTGTTGTTACTTCTTCACCAGACAGGCTGCAACATGAAATTTCTCTCATGCCTCTCTGTAAACTGAGGCCTATGGCATTTAAACTCTTCTACAGCCAAATACCACTTCCCAGTGGAGAACTGCCCAGAAGGTGCACGGAACTCCTCATGATAAAAGGTCCTTCGCCGCTACCCAAGCCACAGCAAACTGCCTCTACTTCTAAACCCACATCTCTGTGTTTGCAGGCACCAACTCACGTCCTGCACTTCAGCCCATGGTCTGACTCATTATACAAACATAACTGTTCCAAGAGCAATATTTTGAAGTTGTCTGAGTGAACTTAATTAATTTTCTTCTACATTATTTCCTCACTAGCTTTTGTTTTCTTGGGTGGAGGATGCTTCTGGGATACCCTTTCTGCCTTTTAAATTGAGAGCTGCTTTTTTTTTTTTTTTTTTTTTAGACAGAGCCTCAAGCTGTCCCCCTGGGCAGAGTGCCATGGCATTACAGCTCACAGCAACCTCCAACTCCTGGGCTCAAGCGAGTCTCCTGCCTCCACCTCCCAAGTAGCTGGGACCACAGGCGCTCGCCACAACGCCCGGCTATTTTTTGGTTGCAGCCGTCATTGTTGTTTGGCGGGTCCGGGCTGGGGATTCGAACCCGCCACCTTAGGTGTACGTGGCTGGCGCCTTAGCCGGTTGAGCTATAGGCGCCGAGCCGAGAGCTGCTTTTACACTGTTAGTCTCCTTTTGTGTTGGTTGTCTCCTGAAGTGGGGTAGTTCTCCTAAAAATGAATGGAAAATAAACTATAATGTTGTTGTCCTGTGCTCTCTTACTCCACAAAAGGAGTGAAAAACAAGAAGATTTTTTGTTGCCAATAGTAATAATACTTTAGAGAAACCCAGCTGCCGTTCCTGGGCTGGCTGCATGGGGAAGTGCGTGTTCATGAACAGCTCCCCTGCACTTCTTTCTGACAGCTGTTGGATTTTTTTTTGGCCAAGGCTGGGTTTGAACCCGCCACCTCTGGCATATGGGGCCGGCGCCCTACCCTTTCGAGCCACAGCTACTGCCCCTGACAGCTGTTGTTGCTCAGTCTCTTGAACCCTCATTTCTTCATCTGTAAAGTGGGAGTGGTACCATTTACCCTAGAGCGTTGTTTTGAGAATTAATCAGGATTGTGCTTATTAAATATATAGCACAGTGCTTGGCACGTGATGTGCTTAGTAATTTTCTTTGGATATATGCAGTCTATTTATTCCAATACATAGAAATTATTTCACCTTCTGTATATTCTGTATTCTGTCTATAGTATTAAGCCTGTCTGCTTGTTTTATCTGTCTTTAGATTTGCAGTTTCTTAAGCCAACCTTCAGTTCTGTCCAAAAATAGGACTTGGAGATAATTAAATTCTTCCTTTATCTGTGCTGGTCTTGTTAGTTTCATTTCTTCCCTCCTCCTTGAAGGAGACTATCTGCTGTGCCAGGACAGGTGTCTGTGGGTGGGGTGGCTATGGCTGCCTAACAGATTACCCAAGAGATTGAATTTGAAACAACAGCCCTTCATTATTTCCTATGATTCTGGGGGTTAACTAGATACAGTAGGCAGGTCTGCTACTGTCCTTGCTTGGAGTCACTTATATAGTTGTGATCAGAGCCTGGGGCTGGAGCAGCCAATGCAGATTTGCTCAGATGTGTGGCACCTTTGTGGGGGCTGGACCCCCCCATGTCATCTCTACATGTGGCTAGCTTGGACACCTATATATGGCGGTCACATCCTGAGAGCTGCCTTCCTATAGCCTGTGCTTGGATTCAGTGTGGGCAGAGGCTGCCCAAGTGTGTGAAGACAGGGTAGCATTTCTGCAGACTAGCTCCTCAGTGGGTGAAAGCCTAACTCTTGACCATTTTCTTGCTATAAATATCACCTTGTTCTCAACAGAATGTGTTATTTATTGTGTTTCTGGAATTGAAGCCTAATGTTCTTTAACTTATAATCTTCTGAGGTTAAACTAGCAAATTATTGTATTTATTTATTTATTTTGAAACACAATCTCACTCTGTTGCCCTGTGTAGAGTGCCCTGGCATCACAGCTCATAACTACCTCAAACTCTTGGGCTTAAGTGATTCTTCTCCCTCAGCCTGGGACTATAGGCAACTGCCACAACATCTGGTTATTTTAGTAGACAGGGTCTTATACTTACTTAAGCTGGTCTTGGACTCCTGAGCTCAAGCAATCCACCTGCCTTGGCCTTGGGATTACAGGCATGAACCACCGTGCCCAACCTAAATTAGCAAATTATTATTGCAGAAGAGGGAATACTAGTAGACAGCAAGGAAAAAATGAGAACTTTTAAACCACTAAACTATTGCATCATATAATTGATTTTTCACATAATTCACTTACTGCTCCATGAGCAAATTGCTATTAGAGGATAAATGTTTCCATGAATTATAAAATAAAACATTTTCTGTTTTAACTTGAAGGGCTCAAATTGTGCCAATAATACCAGTGAGGGCAGTACTATCCCAAGCTGGGTAGAAGACGCTGAGATGGTGAGTTTCTTTAAGCCATTTCCTTTCTCTCCCTACAGTACCTTTTGAAGCAAATACAAAACCAGAAGCAGTCACACCTTATGACACCACTCAGAATGATGAGAGAGGTAGAAGAGATGGTTTAGAAACTGGATTATTAAGCTCAGTTCCAGTGAAGACATACTCCAGGGCAACAGGCTCGTCTTCTGAGAAGAGTGCTAGTGCCACCTCTGTCCCTGATGCTCCCATCATACTGAGCCCCCCACAGACCCACACACCAGACACGTACAACCTGGTGTGGAGGGCAGGAAAGGATGGTGAGCTGCCCATCAATGCCTATTTTGTGAAGTATCGAAAGGTAATGTCTTCTCATTTGTCACTGCTCTCTCCTCACACTGTAACACTGTTTGTATCATATACCTTATTGTGTACTTTGTGGAATAGCAGAGAACAGACAAGAGTGTTTCAGAATGGTGAGTTTGTCAGTTACTCCACCAGTCATACTGCATTTGCCAATCCTGTAAAAGCAGCAACAGTGAAGTATAAATAATTTCCCCCAAAAGTGGGGTTCTAAGAACCCAGTGATGTCCTGACAGTTTTTTTATAAACCACTTTTAAAACAGTAATTTCTTACCTCTCTAAGTAGAATATAGTTTACTTGGCAAATAAAGCAGTTTCTTATTAGAAACAACTATTTGAATAAGGCCTTCTTGCATAATCCCTGATGATTGCTTGCATTTTAAATTGTCCTAATTGTATTAGTAAAATCTTACATTGTTCAGTCATTTATTTTGGTAAACCTTGGGCACCTGTCAGTTGGTTCTTCCAATAATGTGTTCCCCACCCACCCACCCCCGGACTTTTATTAAAGCAGAATGAAAAGTCTCTTCTCGGTTCAGTGAGACTACTAGATGTGGGAGGGGATGGATTCAATATTTGAAATCATTTTCTTTGTCCAAGACATGTTGGTGTCCATTATTAAATGGGGTGGTTTCAGTGACTAGAACAACTAACGTGGTGATCTCTCTTTTTTTTTTTTTTTGAGACAAAGTCTCACTATGTCACCCTGGGTAGAGTGCTATGGCATCATAGCTCACATCAACCTCAAACTCTTGGACTTAAGCAATTCTTTTACCTTAGCCTCCCGATTAGGTAGGTGCCCGCCACAACGCTCAGCTATTTTTTTGTTGTTGTTGTTGCAGTTGTCATTGTTGTTTAGCAGGCCCAGGCTGGGCTTGAATCTGCCAGCCTCAGTGTACGTGGCTGGTGCCCTACTCACTGAGCTATAGGCACTGAGCCTAACATGGTGATCTTTTAAAGTTTATCTTCTATTTCCAACCTGATTTTAGATGAAGGAAGTGAGTTTTGCTGGTAGGTAATCTTACCTACTCTGCAAAATTGTCTCTTTTTTTCTATTAACCAAGAAACAAGTGATTAGATCTCTTTTTATTTCTTCCAGTACATACAGAACAGTGTCAAGACATGAAACAAGAATGTTGGAAATATATAGTACATAATTACATAATGCACATACATACAAACATATAATATCTATTTTGACATATATTCATTGTATATATTGTATGCTACCAATAATACACATTATTATATCCCTATTTTATTCTTCTATTAGCCCAGTAAGAAAGAAGATACTGTTTTTATTACAGCTAGAGGGAATGGACTCTGGGAGGGTGGTAACTGGCTGGAGACCACACACTCTAGTGGTCAGTAGTGGGGCTGGGAGTCTTCACGGTGAGAATTACTGAGTACTTGCTAGAGGTCCCCTTTATTTCTTATTGTGAAGAAGTACTGTCTTTATTTATTTATTTATTTTTTACATAAATGGTGTATTACTCCCCAAATACCTCTAGAATTAAGTGAATTCTAATTTTTATCAAATTTCACTGAAAGGTTTTTTGCCTTCCATCTCCTGTTTTTCTGGCTTCTTTTCTCTTGGACAGCTGGACGATGGGGCCGGTATGGTGGGAAGCTGGCACACAGTTCGAGTCCCAGGAAGTGAAAACGAGCTTCACCTAACTGAACTGGAGCCGTCGAGTCTTTATGAAGTCTTAATGGTAGCAAGAAATGCAGCTGGCGAAGGACAGCCTGCCATGCTCACCTTTCGGACCAGCAAAGGTGAGCACAGTCCTCCTTCAGAGGGATGAGCTGGAGAGTAGAGATTCTTATATGTGAATTCACTAAGCAATCCTATTGCAGCCCTCCCTACCTTTTTGGCATTTAGGTAGTTATATTATTCCATTCCATTTAGTATTCTATAGGTGTTTTGAGAGCTCATGATAAGCTAACATGAGGGCAGGTGATGCAGGGAAAACAAAGATGACCAAGATACAGTCTTTCCCAGTGGAGCTTGGACTTTGATAAGGAAGTGAGACATATACTTAAATAACAACTACAAGAGAAAATTTAATTCTGTTCAGCGAATATTTACTGAATACCTTTTGTGTGTTAGGCAATAAACAGAACAGACAAAACTCCATGGCCTTTTGGAGCTTACATCCTAGTTGAGAGAGACTTATATCTAAGTTGTAAGTACATTAGAAGGCGACAATGCAGGCTCGGCACCTGTGGCTCAAGTGGCTAAGGCGCCAGCCACATACACCTAAGGTGGCGGGTTCAAATCCAGAAGGTGACAATGCTAACAAAGAAAATAAATGAAGGAGTGGATATGGGAAGTATGTGGGCTAGGAATTGTGACAGTTGAAGCAGGCGAGCTGGGAAGTCCTCAGTGAGTGAGCCAGGACTTGAAGCAGGGCAGGTAGAGAGCTGCATGGCTGTCAAGGGGCAGAGCATTGCTGGCAGAGGGCAGAGTGAGGTGTGCTTGGTGGGCCTGAGTAGCACTGAGGGGTCACTGAGGTGGGAACAGAAGAGGTGAGGAGGCCGTGGGGAGGTGCTAAGGAAGAAGGCAGGTGTCCAGGTCACACCGCGTCTGTCAGCATTGCCAGGACCTTTGTTTTGCCTCTGAGTGAGCTGAGATGAGCCAGAGTAGTTGCACAGAGGAGTGGCAAGATGTTTGTTCCAGCAGGATGATTCTGGCTGGGAGTGTGGGTAGACTGGAGGAGGGCAGGAGTAGGCGGCAGGTGCAAGTGCGATGAGAGATTTCCCAAGACAGTGCTGCAGAAGCACCAAGAAAGCACTTACTCTCTCTGTGGGGCACCTTGTGAGGGAAAGCTGGACTGAAAAGATACCATCATTCATCACATTACCAGAATTCAAACTAGACCACAAGGCTACAGCAACTGAAACAGCATAGTATTGAGAGAAAAATAGAGACACAGACCAGTGGATAGAACCGAGAAACCAGATATGAAGCCATCTACTCATAACTGACTGATATTCAACAAAGCAGATAGCAGTGCACACTGGGGAGAATAAGCCCTATTCAATAAATGATGCTGGGAAAATTGGATAGTCACATGCAGAGGAATGAAACAGCAGGACTTCTGCTTCTCACTACTCATAAAAATTAATTCAAGGTAAATAAAAGACTTAAATCTAATGCATGAACCGTAAGAATTCTAGAGGAAAATATAGAAAAACTCTTTTAGATATTTACCTAGGCAAAGAATTTATTACTAAGATCCCAATGGCAATAGCAACAGCAACAAATATAATTAAATGGGACATGTTAAATTAAAGAGATTCAGTACAACTAAGGAAATAGTAGAGCTAATAGACAACCTACAGAATGGGAGAAAATATTCAAAAATTATACATCCAGTAAAAGACGAACAGCCAGAATCTACATAGAACGCAAGCAAGTCAAGAAAAAAAAAAAAATTAAAACGTGGACAAAGGACGCAAACAGAATCTTTTCAAAGAAGATAAACAAATGGCTAATGAGTGTATGAAAAAATGTTTAACATTACTGCTCATCAAGGGAATGCAGATTAAAAGCATAGTGAGATATCACCTTATCCCTGTTTGAATGGCTTTTATTAAAAAGTCCAAACACAGTAGATGCTGGCATGGATGCAGAGAGGAAGGGACACTTATACACTGTTGATGGGACTGCAAATTAGTACAACCTCTGTAGAAAACAGTATGGAGATTCCTCAAAGAATTAAAAGTAGATCTACCATGTGATTCAGCAGTCCCACTACTGGGTATTTATCCAAAGGAGAAGTTATTTTATCAAAATACACCTGCAGTTGCATGTTCATTACAGCACAATTCACAATTGCAAAGATGTGGAAGCAACCCAAGTGCTCATCATTTCATGGGCAGATTAACAGAATCTGTGGTATATGTGTACGATGAGTACTACTCAACCATGAAGAAGGATGAGTTAAGGCATTTTGTAAAAATCTGGATGGAGCTAGAGATCATTCTCCTAAGTGAAGTATCTCAAGAATGGAAAAACAAACGCCATATGTACTCACAATTAAATTAGAACTGATCAGTGAGCACACATTTGGGCAGAGGGGGGTAAAACTTAGTGGAAATCAGCAGGGGGATGGGAGAAAGAGAAGAGGGAAAAAGATCTATCTTCTGGGTACAGTGAACGCTAGTTGTATGACAGGCACACCTATAGCTGGAACTCAAGTGTTACAAGAGTGGATATAGCTTAAAACAATTTAAAATTAAAAAAAAAATTTATGAAAAAGAAAAGATCCCATCATGGCTTGGCCATGAATGAACCGAGACTTCAGTGGGTGCAGATGGGAAACTAGGCAGAATAGTATTTGATGGCGCTATAATAAAACAGTGATGTCAAGATTGAAGAGAGACTATCTAGAGCAGTGGTTCTCAACCTGTGGGTCGCAACCCACAGGAACTGTATTAAAGGGCCGCGGCATTAGGAAGGTTGAGAACCAATGATCTAGAGGCTTTTGAAAAAGACCTTTTCATCTATTCACTGAGTCTGGCCAGAAAAGTAGTGAATATTTTCTATTTAAAATGTATCTTGTGGCTTGGCGCCTGTGGCTCAAGCGGCTAAGGTGCCAGCCACATACACATAACGTGGCAGATTCGAATCCAGCCCGGACCCACCAAACAACAGTAATGGCTGCAACCAAAAAATAGCCGGGCCTTGTGGCGGGCGCCTGTGGTCCCCGCTACTTGGGAGGCGGAGGCGGGAGACTTGCTTGAGCCCAGGAGTTGGAGGTTGCTATGAGCAGTGAAGCCATAGCACTCTACCCAGGGGGACAGCTTGAGGCTCTGTCTCAAAAAAAATAAAAAATAAAAAATAAAATGTATCTTGTGTTAATTTTCACAGCTGGTCCTTAGATGTCTATGGTGCCTGACCTATAAAAACTAAATAATAAGTATACATGTTCATTTTTTTAAAAGTCACCCAATTTTCCTTTTTAACTCTTGAAATGTTAAAGCAGTGTGATAATTTTCCTGTGGAAAAACTTAACAGAAGCTCTTTAATGTTGAATTTTATATTTTAGAATTAAGAAATATGTACGGTAAAAAGAAAAGCAGACCAAAAGTTTGAAAACCTTCACTCTAATCATTCGGCTTTTTCACTTATGGTTTTCCTATGCGTAAATTAAAGTTAGGATATTGAGAAAAGACACTCTTTAGCTTTCCCTTGAAGATACTAGAAGAAGACAAAGTAACTTTTTGTCATTTCCTCAGATCAGCCATGTATTTGTAATACAGGTTAAGTTTAGATGCTATGGCAGATAAGTTCATATATTTATTCCTATATACCAATAAAGTTTCATAGGTACTTTTTTAACTTTGCATATATATAAGCTCTTGTTACAGCATATGTTTTTTAACCTTTCTAGAGAAAACAGCATCATCAAAAAACACGCAGGTGTCCTCTCCACCTATGGGCATCCCTAAGCACCCTGCTGTTTCAGAGGCTGCAAACAGCAACTTTGGAGTGGTACTCACAGATTCATCCAGGTACAGTGGAGGTAAAGAAAATCATCTTTATTTTATTCACTTTGTTTACGAGTGTCACAGACCAATGGCAGATTGGGGAGGTGGGGTGGAAAGGATATTTATTTATTATTCAGACTGTATCTTACCAGATAGCTTTTTCAGGGTCTATGTCAACCTTTTTTTTTTTTTTTGAGACAGAGTCTCACTATATCACCCTTGGTACAGTGCTGTGGCTCACAGCAACTTCAAACTCTTGGGCTTAAGCGATTCTCTTGCCTCAGCCTCCCAAGTAGCTGGAACTACAAGCTCCTGCCACAACACCCTGCTATTTTTTGGTTGTAGTTGTCATTGTTGTTTGGCAGGCCTGGGCTGGGTTCCCACCCACCAGCTCCAGTATATGTGGCTGGTGCCCTAGCTGCTCAGCTACAGGCACCAAGCCTGTCAACCATTTTTTAAAATATCGTATATTTAAGCTTTGACTACTCAGTGTCAAGATTGGCATTTAACTTAATAAACTCAGATTAAGAATGCTCTGGTACTAAGTTTTAGAACTCAAGAAAAGGGGTTTTCTGTCTGTTTTCTTGTAAGAAAACTAAATTTGTGCTTTGAACTTTGAAAGTCTGACTATTTTTGTGTTAGACTTATCAAAAGGTATGGTGGTACCTATAGTAATTTATTTTACTGGAAGATTACATGTCATATTCACTTTTGCTATCTGGTTAATCTTAACGGTTTTTAAATATCTCTGCAATAAAATTTTCAAAACACTTTTTAATTTTTAAACCTCACATTTATGAGTTCTACTATTACAGCCTAGAATGCTTTTTCTGACTATGCTAATATGTTAATATGTCAGGACATCAAAGGAAGAATTAAAATTTCCTTGGGAAGCTCTAAGAATTTCCAGGCTTCTCTTCCATATTTTAATGGTTTTTCATGGACTGATCTCAGACAAAGATAAGTCATAATGTTAGAACTCCCCTCTGGAGCACCTGTGCTGCTTCTATCAGGATCCTTCTGACCTGAGCTCTTCTGCCTTCAGGCACAATGTTAAACAGATTACTTATATCAGCTTCATGTGAATAAAACCTATATCTAGAAAGTAAAAACCTTACTATTTATTTTATTTTATTTATTTATTTCTTTTTTGAGACAGAACCTCAAGCTGTCGCCCTGGGTAGAGTGCTATGGCATCACAGCTCACAGCAACCTCAAACTCTTGGGCTTAGGCGATTCTCTTGCCTCAGCCTCCCAAGTAGCTGGGACTACAGATGCCCGCCACAGTGCCTGGCTATTTTTTGGTTGTAGTTGTCCTTGTTGTTTGGCAGGCCCAAGATGGATTCAAACCCGCCAGCTCTGGTATATGGGGCTGGCGCCTTAGCTGCTTGAGCTATAGGCCTGAGCCCTTACTATTTATTTTATACACCCTCTGGTTGACACTGTAGGAAATGCTGGAACTGCCAAGCTAAAATATAATAATCCCTGCCTTCATGGAATTCACAGTAGAGTGAATACCCATAACAACATAGTGGGTCATATAGACAGATGTACCATTTGAGTGGTGCATGAGGTTGTATCCTGGTGCTGAGGAGTCACACGAGCAACATGTGAGTCATCTCTGGGTGTAGATGAACAGGGGGGTGGGTGCTTCTCACCACCTTGAGCAAAGCCTTGGAGGACAGGGATGATACCGCTAGGTGACGAAATAGGGAGACACCTTTTTTATGCAAGAGACAAGTAGCTGACATATTCTAGTTTGCTTAGAGATTAGAGATTTTTATTTTTAATGTGAACAGGTGCTGTGGGAATGACACAAGTGTAGGGGGGCAGTAGGTGCCTTGTATGGTTCACTTAAAAGTTCAGTCTTTTCCTTTAAAGGATTTTAAAGAGAAAGAAGGTGGGAGGAAAGGCAAAAGATGAGGAAAGGCAGAAAAATACTTAGGAGAGCTATGGTGTAAACAGAGGAGGGGAGAAGGCCTGTGTGGGGATGAGGGACTAGGGTCTGCACTGGGTAAAGAAAGGGATTTGGGCTTGATTACCTAGGGACCATTTACTACAAAGATAGGAAGAGCTCTTAGGTGAATATCATGGATTCAGTTCTGGAAATCATGCGTCTGGAGTTATTCAAGCAAAGATAACCATAAAAACTGATTTGTTTAATCTCTGTAACAGATTTAGGAGGAAAGCAGCATGTCTGTTTCAGGGATTGGGGAACTGCAGCTTGGGTCAGTCCTGCCCCCTATGGCCCTCCAGAAGGTGGAGGAAGTGGGGAACTACTGCTCACATCTGGGGTTTTAACTGCTCTTTTCTATCTTATCAGCAGTCGTGTGTTATTTCTTTTAGATAGTGAAGATATTCTTCTCTGTAGAGATATTTTTCCCAATAACTTTCTTTTCCTGTTTGACCTGTGGTGTTTGATGAGTTTTAACCTTAGATAAATCAACATAAGATGTTTGGTTTTCTAGTAGAATTAAAAGAGAGATTCACTAACAGTTCTATTCATTCTGTTTCCATTGCTTTCTATCTTAAAAGGAATACAGTAAGTATCCCTCAAAGGTGCCTGCTTTGACTATATTCCTTTTTTTATTCCTTAAGGAATTTGTCTTTAACATGTCATGTTTTTCTCCATACAAGTAGCACATGCAACACTATTTATGAGGGGCTGAAGTGGGAGGTGTTGTTCAGTTGAGGAGCATGGCATAGGCTAGATAGAGATGGGGCCCCTTAGTTGTTTCCCCAAATTAGGGTTCCCACAGCCCAGAGCCTTCTAGCGATAGCATACCAAAAGATTGTTTGGTCTCCTGAGAACCTGCTCACATCTACAAAATTCACAGGTGATTAACGTAAAGCAGAATGGCAGTTTACTAGTTTGCAGTGCCTCTGTCCTGTGGACTAGATTGTTGTTGTCAGTATTCTTCCTGGTAGGGATGAGTGGTATGCCAGCGACAGTACAGTGTACCATTTGAGTTGTGCACAAGATTGCTTGGTCACCAAGAGGGGCTGAGTGCACAGTGCTGAGGAGCTTTCTCCTGACCTCCCATCTGCTGCAGGGTCTAGGACTCCAGACCAGCAGTTCTAAACCTGTGGGTCACAATCCAGAGGAACTGTATTAAAGGGCTGCAGCATTAGGAAGGTTGAGAACCACTGCTCTCGACTGTTTGGTTTGTGGGTTTGAGTGTCCCTTGTCCTTGGCTGTGCTGTCTGAAAATTACCAGATATTAGCTCCCTGGCTGCTTTTTCCTACATGTTCACGTGTTTCCTGGATAGCAACTTGCTTTATTTAACTATGTATCCAGTCTCCTGCCTTCTTCCTGAGCAACATTCTCTCTTCCCATTATTATCAGTATTGATTTTACCAGTCAGATTTTATCTCTGCTGCTTGCAGTCTGTGTTTTCAAGTAACATTCCTGTGTCCTTGAGGAATATTGAGATAGACTATAATATTAGTAATTAATATAATGGTGGATTGCTGAATGTATTTTATGTAGCTTAGATAGATAAAGAAAATCCTTTAAATAAAGAAACACGTAGTTGTATGTATTTATTATAAATTATAACCACAGTCATACTTGAAACTCCAAATAATAATTGAGTAGCTGGCAGTACTGGTGCATGCTGTGATGCCTACCTAATTTTTGTATTTTTTGTAGAGATGGGTCTCGCCATGTTGCTCAGGCTGATCTTGAACCCCTAGGCTCAAGTAATCCTCCTTCCTCGTAGTGCTGAGATTACAGGTGTGAGCCACTGCACCAGGCCCCCATTAGCTTTTAACAGAGGACAGGAAGATAGCCATAGTTTTACTGATCCTGGCAAAAAATTTGGTGAAGAACATTTAATAACATGAGGTTTGGGGTTTACCTGTTTATTTAAGTAAACTCTGTCTCTGACATCATGGATTATTGAAATAAATGTTTCCGTTTTTAGTTCCAGAGGCACCAGATCGGCCTACTGTCTCCACAGCATCAGAGACATCAGTCTATGTCACTTGGATTCCACGGGCAAATGGGGGCTCTCCAATCACTGCCTTCAAGGTTGAATACAAACGCATGAGGACTAGTGCCTGGCTGGTGGCAGCTGAAGACATTCCTCCTTCTAAACTTTCTGTGGAAGTTCGAAGTTTAGAACCAGGTAGTAGAATTCAAACATTTCCTTTTATTTTTGCCATCAGTACTAAATGTTAGGTGCGTATTTTTAACAATCTTACATATTTTCTAATTGCTAAAGTGATGGATGCTGTATAGAAATTTGAGAATAAAGAAAAGAAGGGAGTAAGCACTTGATATGCTCCCATCCACCAGATAATTGCTGCTTATATTTTGGTATATTTTTTCTTCCCTTTCTTTTTCTTACTACCAATAGGATCATGCCATTTAAACATTGTTTTACCACCCCACTTCCCTCTTATGTGCATTTTCCAATGTCACTAAAATTCTTCACAAGCTCAACGTTTAATAGCTGTTTATCTTCTGTGCATGTAAATGCATCATAATTCACTTTATCATTCTCTATTTCTGGCTTTTAATTGTTTCTGCTTATTTGCAATTAGAAATAATGCAGTGAATATGTTTTGCCATGACGGAGCATTTTGAGAGGAAGAGTGCTTGTTGTTTGGTTAACAACAAAGCATCAGGGCTTGGCACCTGTAGCACAGTGGTTATAGTGCCAGCCCTGTACACTGAGGCTGGCCGGCTGGGCCAGCTAAAGCAACAATGACAACTGCAACAACAACAGCAACAAATAGCCAGGTGTTGTGGTGGGCGCCTGTAGTTTTAGCTACTGGAGAGGCTGAGAATCACTGAAGCCCAAGATTGGAGGTTGCTGTGAGCTGTGACACCATGGCACTCTACCCAGAGTGACATAGTGAGATTGCATCTCAAAAAAAAAAAAAAAGTATCAGTTTGATCTGATGCTGAGTTTTAGCACACTTGTACTTAGCACTTAGTTTTATGAAAATAAGACGATTAACACTTGCTTGTTCTTTTAAGATTTGTTCCAACCGAGGAACCCCACTCTTCCTCCCCAAAGTCTTGGGCCATATGAAAGAATTTAAATTGTAGAAGAGAAAAAGGATAAAGAAACTTTGTTTACTTTTACTTGTTTCGTTTTCCTGGCCATTTTCAATTCTGGACTTTAAAATATACATTTTGCCTGTGTCAGTCTACACAGGAGCAGAGGAGCATAGCATTGCAGCTGGGAGAAGGCAGAAGTGTGGGCCCAGCTATGCAATAGTTTATGCATTGAAAACATTGTCTTCAGAAGCCTAATAGTTATTTTTGTGCTATTAGGAAACTCGCATTAGGATTCTAATTTATTTTTCAGTCAAATTTTCAGAAATTCACAATCCTTAGCACTTTTTAAAAGCTCTCAATAACTAATCCAAATAAATTCCTTCTGCTGCAGTGTAAATCTGCACCCTATAGCAGTGAACCCAGAATGACATCTGCTGTCACCTGCATAGTGCCTGTTGATGAATGTATTCACCTTCTTAAACTTCAGTTGTTTCTTTCGAAGTGAAAAGAGCCTAGTTTGGGGGACAGAAACTTCAACAAATACTGTCTTTGTTGGGTATGACTTAGAACAGGATGATTAAAGGAGTAAATGTCTGCTTTCCTGTTCTTTGCCTGCTCCCTCTATGAGAAGACACTTAATCTTTTGAGGCCATCTTTCCTGGGGACTCCTAATAAGGTCTTGGGATCTTGAGCATAGTGCATTGAGCAGCCACCTCCAGCTTATTGAAATACTCAAGTGTGGGAAAATTTGCTTACCATGTAGTCTTCAGAGTATTTTATTTTATGACAGAGAGATACTTAACCATGCTTGTCACATTTGACACCTTCACCTGTCTCCTTAAAGCTGTTTTTAGTTACGAGGTTTGTTTTGTTTTTGTTTTCCCCCAAAGGTTCAACATACAAATTTAGGGTCATTGCCATCAACCATTATGGTGAGAGTTTTCGGAGCTCAGCGTCTCGTCCTTACCAGGTGGCTGGGTTCCCCAACCGTTTCTCCAACCGTCCAATAGCTGGGCCTCACATTGCATATACAGAGGCCGTCAGTGACACTCAGATCATGCTAAAGTGGACAGTAAGTGAATGTCTTCTTGAGTAAGAAGGTTTTCTGGTTTGGTCATGTTAATAATCAACTTAATGTTCTCATGACACTACTATGGATAGCAAATTTTTGAACTTTTAATTGAGGGGAAGTGGAAGGGCAGCAATACTAGTCTAAAAGTCCGTGTTATAAGGGAGGGCAGGGTTAAAAATAAAATTATTATCTCTTGAACTGTCATCCCAGTGTAAACTTAATAGACATCTTGCAATTATTTCATTTTGAACCAAATGTACTTTTATGCTTTTGAACCTATTATATAGCTTTATTTTTGTTTAGCCCTTCAGTAAGCTAAATGCTCTTAATACCTTTGAATAATATCCCTTAAAAGTAACCATTAAGTATGTTTGTAAAATGAAGCTAAAAAAATATTACTGCACAGATAAATACATCTTAATGGATGTGAAAGTTAAATTTATTTTTGTCTTTGACAAATCTTTGCTCTATTTTTTAGTACATTCCATCAAGTAACAATAACACTCCTATTCAAGGATTTTATATCTATTACCGACCAACAGATAGTGACAATGACAGTGATTACAAGAGAGATGTTGTAGAAGGTAAGCTTTGGGGGAAGAGAGTTTATAAATGTTATGAAATGTATCATTCCAGGTTAAGGTAGAGTAAAAAAATAGAATGGTATAAGTTCTATTGCTGTTGAATTTGTACTAAAGAAAGCCAGTTTTTCTGGTTTTATGCATATAATACCTTACTTTTTGGTTGTAGAAACAGTTAAAAAAGTATGGGAGAGATCTGATTTGTTAGTAGTTCATCCAAAAAAGTTTTTATTTCTGTTTTGTTTAAGTGAACAGTGACCTGAGTATAAAAATCAATTGCAACCTCTAACCACATTCAAAAAATGTCTCACTCAGTTTTATTAAAGTCTGCACCAGAGAGATCATACCCACTTTTAGAGATGTTGAGAAATTGGAATGCATGTAGAGAAATAAGAAAACAAAATTGCTTTTCTATTGCATTGAAAACAGAACCTAGAATTTTGCACACGTCCGAAAGGTCCTACAGGACCAGGCTGGCCCTGCCTGCAACCTCAGCCGCATGCTCTGAACCTCTTTCTGGCTTTTCAGTTTCCTTGTGCACACCAGGAGTTTCTTTTGCCTCAGGACCTTGGCACAGGCTAGTTCCTGCTGCCTACTGTGCTCTGCTCCCAGCCCTTTATCTAGGTGTCCCTCTTCCCTCTGTTCTGTGCTTAAATAACCACTTCCTCATCTGAGGCTTCCCTGATAACTTTCGCTTATTTGTGTGAGGTACCCTTGCAGCAATTTCTGAGGATACCCTTTATCTTCATTTCATAGAAGTCATCCAAGTTTGAATACACAGGGTATATGTGTGTGAGACTGTGTGTGTATGCTTGAGATTATTTGCTTTCAGTCTGTCTCCTGTACTCAGTGTTAACTTCGTTGTGGGCACAGGACTTTTCCCACTGCTCTAGCTCTAGCCCCTACAATGGGAGGTGTTTAGTACTGAATTAATGGATCAATGGAGCCCAAGAAGAATAATAGAGAGTGTGGTGACATTCAGGCTTGGTAAATAGAAGACCAACAGAAGGAACATGATAGCTGTCTTCAAATATTTTAGGACTATGACGTGGAAGAGGGGCTGAGTTAGTTGATGGAGGGGAAATTACAAAGAACTTTCTAGTGGAGCATTTATAACATAGATTCCCTCACAAAGTTATAGACTCCCTAATTTTGGAAATGATCAATAGAAGCTGGGTGCCTATTTCTCAGTAATATCTTGGAAGGGATACTTGCATGGGAGGAAGGCTTCTTCCAACGTCTTTTTTCACTTCAAGATTCTGATTTTTGTCTCGGCGCCTGTAGGTCAAGTGGCTAGGGCACCAGCCACATACTTTGGAGCTGGCAGGTTGGAATCTAGCCCAGGCCCGCCAAGCAACTATAACAACTATAACCAAAAAATACCCAGGCCTTGTGGCGGTTGCCTATAGTCCCAGCTACTTGGGAGGCTGAGGCAAGAGAATCACTTAAGCCCAGGAGTTTGAGGTTGTTGTAAGCTGTAACACCATGGCACTCTACCCAGGGCCACAGCTTGAGGCTGTCTCCAAAAAAAAAAAAAAAAAGATTCTGATTTTTTAAAATACTCAACATTCTAATGAACCATCTCAGAAAATTGCCCTCAGCCAAGGTTATTTTCCATATAGTACCAAATACTGCATATAGTTTCTATTACAATAAATTACTTTAAATATGGTATTAGGTATATTACACTTCTTTAAATACTGTAGCAGCCCTTTTAATGTTTATCCAGTGGAATGACTTTTGTAATGTAATGAAAAATCTGTGATTTTTGTTTTAATACTCAGCACATTGTAGGTGTGTTAAGTAAATACTTTTTGAGGGAAGGAAGGATTATTTCTCTTAAGCTATAGCTTTTTGTGGCAGAACTATTTTGTGCTCTTAGATGTTTCTGTGGAAGCTGTCCTGAGAGAGAAGAGCCTGGAAGGGGTGTGAATGGGCTTGGGGCAGCACCAGTAGTGTTCTAGTGCTCAGCTTGTGAGTGTTCATTGTGCTGTACGGTTAAGGGGGCTTTTCTGTGTGCATATTTTACATCAATAAAATGGCTATTAAGAAAAAAGAAATGGAAAGATATTAGTGACTGTTCTGCATTTTGGTTCTGTCTGGGTCTTCATTTTAGTTCAGCTGGTTCAGAGTAGTGGGGAGACATCACATTTTCATTGTCAAAACTTTTAGACATGGCTTAGCACCTGTAGCTCAAGTGGCTAAGGAGCCAACTACATACGCCAGAGCTAGCAGGTTCAGATCCAGCCTGGGCCTGCCATGGCTGGACAATGACAACTACAGCCAAAAATAGCCAAGCATTGTGGTGGGCACCTGTAGTCCGAGCTACTTGGGAGGCTGAGGCAAGAGAATCGCTTAAGCCCAGGAGTTGGAGGTTGCTATGAGCTATGATGCCACAGCATCCTACCCAGGGCGCCAGCTTGAGGCTCTGTCTTAAAAAAACAAAAGAAAACAACTTTTTGACAGAGGTTAAATATCTTTCATAAAATAGTTCTCCACAAGACAGATGTAACTACAATGTGTATCTGTCTCTGCCTCTTTTCACCTCCCTTTACCCTTCCTAATTCTGCTCTCTAGAGACACCCACTGGTAAACATGTTCTCTAGTCTAGTCTTCAAATTCTGACAAACTTCAGTATGTCTATCTGTTCCAGTTTCAGCCAGTTTTTAAATCAAGATATTTCAGGGGTCCTCTTTACATTTATATGTGGGGTATAGAATACCTTACTTCTTGAGCCTTTCAGATATGCCTGATCCTAAAACAAGGAGATTTTCGTCCTCATGAAATGCAGCTTTGTATGAATGTGGCATTTTGTATTGGTGACTTGGAAAGGGGGTTGTGCCTCCAGATTGGATTATTTTTGTCTGTGCTGAATTAAAGAAGAACCTGGTGACATTGGTCCTATCAGCCAAGAAGATTTAACTCGTGTGTGTGGTTGTTGTTTTGTGTTTTCTCCCTTTTTAATTTGTTCTTACATCTGTTGGTGGTATGCTTGAGTTTCTAAGAAACAGTGGAAACAGATCTGAAGAGATATTTCCTAAGAGGGATTAAGAATACTTAAAGAGTTAATTAAATCAGGTGAAAGTGTCCCCGTTTATGAAAGTTTGTCATGGGTCCATGTAAGTAAAAATGAGAGTAATTTATACTGGAGTTGGGGAGTGTTTCTAAATGAACTGGTGGCTGAGTGCCAGGTGTGACAGAATCATTCTGCACATGTGAGAGACACTTAGCGCTTTGCAGACCCTGACTCAAAGGAAAAGCAGGAGTGGGAGTGGCACCAAGGGTTTGCTGAGGTAGATCTTGCTTTTTGATGGTGCTCAGCAGTTTGTTCAGTCATTTCCTTATATGTTGGGTCATACTGTGGCCATTACAATAGAACTGGGAGTTTCACTGAGGCCTTCTTACAACTTGCTCTAGGTACTGTACCATTTGTTGATCTCATATGGTAATGTTTTTGGTGGGCGGACATAGTGGACTGATGTAGTGAGTTGAAATAGAGATCAAAGGACTTGAGGTTTTTCTTTTACCTATGCATAAGATTAACATATTTTATGAAAAACTCACCATTATCATTTTTAATGAAACAAGTATTCATTAAATGAAACAACATACAGGGATAGCTTTTTACCTTTTAAAAAGAAAAGCTTTTTACCTTTTCCTGTGCCATGTAGCAATAGTGCCACTTACCTGTGGCACTTACTAAGATACATTACACTAAGTACATTCTTAATTGTGCAGATTGTACTAGATGGTGGTGAGTGCTGTTCCAGCCTCACTCTGAGTGTATGAGTAATTACGTTGACATTATCATCCAAGTTGTACCAAGGGTAAAGCTTTTTCTTTCATTTTCTTTGCTAGGTTCAAAGCAGTGGCACCTGATTGGCCACTTGCAGCCAGAGACGTCCTATGACATTAAAATGCAGTGCTTCAATGAAGGAGGGGAGAGCGAGTTCAGCAATGTGATGATCTGCGAGACCAAAGGTAGGAGACGCTGAGGAGTTGGGCTTTACCCCTGACAGTGCTAGAATTCCCCACTCTGGATTACCGCTTCTGATTCTTGAAATATTTACCTAAGGAATTTCTGCTTTGGACCATTTTCCAGGTGTATAATTACACTTTCCCAGCAGAAGGAGAGTATGTTGGCGAGAGCGTGTGTTTAAAAGATAGTTTACATGAGCATTCTGTCTGTTAATGTTTGGTTGTCTCTTAGGATATCACTTCCCTTCTCTTTTTCTTTGAGAAGAAAATGGAAATATTTGCTGAGTACTTTCTGAGGTTGCTATGAGAGTTAGATAACAGAAATTCTAGAATATTAGGAAAGGCACTAGCACAATTAGGTGGTTTCTTGAATGACAGAACTATGCTACAATACTTGTTCAATTAAGTATAGTAGCTAAGCCTAGAATGAGCAATTGCCGATTCTAGATTGGCATTCTTAACTCTGCCTATATGCACATAGGTGAATTTTAAAATGTTGCCATCTTTAAAAGCAGAAGACACTACGTGTGCATGATAGAAGCCCTCCTGTCCACTGTCTCATTTAAGTCTTTGCAACAGCCTCAGGGATAATGTCAACTGCAGAGATCACCGAAGTCCCCCAGAAGTAGGCTTCAACAGTGAGGAAATGGATTGCCCCCAAAACGAGGAGTCCAGAAGTAGGCGACTGTCTCTAGGACCGGTCAGTTCAGAGGTTCATGGTTTTCTTTTTGCCCTCTGCCTTCTTCGGGCTTCCAGCTTTTCCCTCTCTCTAGCATCATTCACTGCTCACCATAGTTCTGGCTTCACAGCTAGGTGTGTGATGTCCACAGTGTCTGTTTTTAAGAACAAGGAAGTATTTCCCCTAGGTCCTTCAGTAGATCTCCCCACAGGTCTTATTGACCAAAATTTGGCCACAAGCCACTCCTATACTATTCACTGACTTACTTCAGGGTTATGTAGGGGTCAGGTGGATACCTCAACAAAATTGGGGCTCTGCCAGCATGAAAAGGAACCTTTGAGTACACTGGGTAGCCACCAGTGTCTGCCACAGGTGATTTTTATCATCATTGTGAAGAAGCAGAGGCCAGAAAGATTGAATTATAAAGCCAAGGCTTAATTCCATCTTTCAAATTCAAAATCACGTGTGCTTGTACTGCAGTACTCACATCTTAGATCTCCGTTTAAACATACATACACACATATGTATAGAACTTTACACTTAGATTGAATTTCATTTGGTTAGCATATACTTGAGTGCCTTTTTGTACCAGACACTGTTACATGTTAATGAGATACTTGGAGTAAAATTGAAATCAGAATGAAACATATCATCTCTGTTCCCAAAGCATTTAAGAATCCAGCCAGATAAAGCATGAAACATGGACAACAGTGTTACAACTGTTGCATAAAGTAGTACAAACTGGCCACCAAGTTTGTGTGCAATTTAAAACAGCATGCAGTGCAAAATTACACACAGACTTTATGGCTACCCTGTGTAATTGTTTGCCTGTGTTTAGAATAGTATACCTGTTCAGATCAGGGAAACATAAAAACCTTTTTTTCTTGTGTTAACTGTTCATAGTGAATGATTTTCTAAAATGTATTGCACAATTCTCTGACTGTTTAGATGGAAGATATGACAGTTAAAAAATCCTTACTTCAGGTTCTTGTTGTGAATAATGATTGCTTTATTTTTAGCAATTCAGTAAGGTTTACAGGAATGATGGAGGTGTTGAAGGCTGGCCATCTTCCCTTTTCAGCAGAAATCAGAGACTGCTATGACTTGCTTTGAAGTTCTTTGATTTCTCTTTACGTTTCCCATCTTTCTTTTCTCATTTTAAACTCTGTCCTTTCCCCATGCTGATCTGATAGTCCTGTCTCACCTGCAGTGACAGCCACTGTCTCAGCTTTGGCTTTAGCGAGAGGCTGGAAACCAGATCATGAAGCTAGGTAGAAGTACAGACAAAGAGTGATTGAGCCTGAAGGACTTCTCCAAGAGTAATGACAGTCTGTAGTGTATGCTATGGAACATCCATTGTGCCTCAGAACAGTTTCCCTTTGAGTTATCAGGGACCTTAGAATTGTATAATCCAACTTACCACCTGAAGGAGAAATGCCCTTTGAAATCTCTGCCAAATGTTCACCCATCTCTTGCTAATGGAGAACTTCTCCTTTAAAAGATAGCCACTTTTTTCCTTATTCCCAGCCCTGTTCTGTGCAGTTGGTGTTGCTAGAAAATTGAGCCCCAACTTAAATTAACATCATTTGTCGAGTAAATTTTTAAAAGGTGAGTTCGCTCCCATGGCTTGTTAAGCACGTAATGGAAATACAGTGTAATAATTAGTAAGAAGGGCAGAGTTGCCCGGGCACCCCTGTGTGCCAAGCTCTGCATGCTTTACAGGCTGGGCTGCGCACAGTCACTCTTCTTTACAGCAGTGGGACAGGGCTCTTCTTTTTTCCTCCGTTTCCTACGTGCAGGAACTGGGAATTGTGGAGGTAAAAGTCACACCACTGGTGGGTCAGTGGTAGAAATGAGATGTACTTGGGGGCATTCTGTTTCCAGGGACCTGCCGTGCCCCTTTTCACTCCTTTTCTCTGTGGTTTACGGCATTGAGAACATGTGATTTAGGGACGTGAGGACGTTACCACTGTTACCCAGAGTGCCAGCCAGCGAATTAGGTGAAAGTACAACATTTATGTAGACGCTAAAAGTCCTTGTTTTTTGGAAAGCTTAATATTCTGTGTGAAGTCATGGGAGTTATAAGTAGTTTTCTAATACTCCAAAGCTATGCTTTTTCATTTTGGTAGTGATTCTTTTATGCATGGTAGCAGTATACAATTTGTAATTTTGAGTCTAATTTAACTCAAAGTAGATCAGATATAAAGGAGTTTTTGTTCCAGCTGTAAGTTGAAATACTTTTATTTCAACTGTCTGGTAGTCTTCTACAAGTAAAATTAGGCAGATAATCATATAGCTGTTTGGGTTAGACAAAGTGCATATGTTTTTCTGCTTTTAGGATTTCTCTAAAATTTGTGGACTAAAACTTTGGCACATCAGATTTTTAAACTTCAGAGCCCTCTTTGTGACTCACTGGTGGTCAGATCATCTCAGCAACAAGTGTAAACAGACTGGCTTGCATTCCTAACCAGACCTCCTTCAAAGAGTAAATGGTTCCATAGAGTCAGTATTGACTCTGACATCATGTTTTCCTTTATATTTCAACTAGTGAAACGTGTTCCTGGAGCTTCTGAGTATCCTGTCAAAGACTTGAGCACCCCTCCAAACTCCTCAGGAAGTGGAGGGAACGTTGGGCCTGCGACCAGCCCTGCCAGAGGCAGTGACATGCTGTACCTGGTCGTGGGCTGTGTGCTCGGTGTCATGGTCCTCATTCTCATGGCTTTCATTGCCATGTGCTTGTGGAGGAATCGCCAGCAGAACACTATACAGAGTGAGTCATTCATAAGTTTTTCCTTCTCTTTTTTAAAAGATAGGTAGAAAAATATTGTCAGAATAAATATTCATTCCTAACACTTGTGTATTAGTGTTATTTTTAAAACACGTTAGATATTCTTCATTGAGAGGAGATGCCTTTAAAACCCTCCTAACTGTCAGCCAAAGTAAGTGTAGCATCAAATTAAATTGCTCAGTAGACATAAACACCAAAGCCCAACTAAAAAGGTCTCTTAGTAAATAGCTGACTTAGTTCTGGGAAACTGCCTCTGTGGACCACCAAGGGTGATGCATACTTAAATCCCAAGCTCTAGAATTGCAGCTGGGACACCTCTACGCCAGTGCAGATCTTTTTTTTTTTTTTTTTTTAGACAGAGCCTCAAGCTATCCCCCTGGGTAGAGTGCCATGGCTTCACTGCTCACAGCAACCTCCAGCTCCTGGGCTCAAGCGAGTCTCCTGCCTCAGCCTCCCAAGTAGCTGGGACCACAGGCGCCTGCCACAATGCCTGGCTATTTTTTGGTTGCAGCCATCATTGTTGTTTGGCGGGCCCGGGCTGGATTCGAACCCGCCACCTTAGTTGTATGTGGCTGGCGCCTTAGCCGCTTGAGCCACAGGCGCCAAGCCCCAGTGCAGATCTTGTCAGCAGGGAAGAGAGGGCCGGGTGGAAAGGCAGGCAGTGAGGACTTTCCAGAGTTACTTTCTGATGGGCCAAGGCTATGTGGGGGTGACATCCTCTCCCCCAGGGATGTCTGGCGATAGGTGTGCTTGAATGGTTGATGAGGGCACAGATAACCTAAAACTCCTCTCCCTTTTCTTTTTCTTCAGTTCTCTTTGCCTCACCTTCCTAACTTTCCTATTTCATCAGCTATTATAAAATAGGATAACCACATCAAATAGGGATTTTAGTCTTTGGTGGGAGGAAGTTTCTTTTGTTTCCCCTTTGGCCCTAGAATAGGAGCAGAGGAGGACCCGGCAATGAAGGGCACTTACGGCAACTGTCAGTCAGTCTCCACCTGTAGTCCCTTTTCAGTTAATAGTTCAGGGGGAAAAATGATCTACTTTTATTGAATGGTACCTTCTAAGAGATGAACATGGGTGGTGTCAGGCTGAAAGGGTGGGGCCTTTTTCTGAATGGTTTTAATGTTGTTGCCTTTAATTGTGTGAGTATATGCTGAATAATTAAAAGAAAAGTATTGATCTGGCTGAGCAAAATTAATCTGATTAAGTCCTCTTCCTTTATGACTGGAACAAAATATTTTAAAATGAAAAATTATGACCAGATGTAGTGGCTCATGCCTATAATCCCAACACTCTGGGATGCTGACACACAATTACGTGAGCTCAAGAGTTTGAGACCAGCCCAAGCAAGAGCGAGACCTGTCTCTACTAAAAACAGAACAATTAGCCAGGCATTGTGAATCCTGTAGTCCCACTACTCAGGAGGCTGAGCAAGAGGGTCTCTTGAGCCCAGGAGTGTAAGGTTGCTATGAGCTAGGCTGACTCCATGACACTCTAGCCTGGGCAACAGAGTAAGACCCTGACTGAAAATAAAAAAAGAAAAAGAAAAAAATTATCATGGTGTAGTGTTCTTTAGGTCATTCATTCAAAAGACAGTCATTGATTATCTTCTGTGTGCTGGGCATGGTGCTGCTAGATGGCAGAGGCAGCAAGCAGGCTGGGCCTCTGCCCTCTTCAAGGTGATGGTTTGGTGGAGAAGGCAGGCAGTTGCAGTGACAGCACACACCTGTGTGGAAGGCGCAGCACCAGGAGCAGCTGTAGTAGGACGGACGCTAATCTAGTCTTGGTGAGCTCTGCTGCCTTTGAAGAACGTGTCAAAAGTTTGCTGACAAATCCTGTACAGTTCAGACACTGTACTTCCTAAGGGATGTTTTGCTTTTACTAAATATATCTGGTAGATGTACCTCTGGAAATAAGAATTTTGAAGTAGTGGTTTAAATGCTTTTAATATAAGAAAATAGAATAGCCTCTTCTATTTAGTACCCCACCACCTCCACACTAGCTGTTCTAAGGAGCTATATGAACAGTAACTGAATGACTACACAACTCTGTCCTTTTACTTAAAAGTGTTGTTTATCACTATTTGAAATCCTACTTAAAGCTAGTCTTCTGTGGTGGTGTTATACAGTATTTTGAGTGCTCTGTAGTATGTGGGAGTTGAAGCACTCTTTCTTAGTGTTGCCAACACATTGGTAACAGTTTGTTCATTCTCTTCTGAGTAATTTCTCTCTGACTAATGTCTCTTCCCAGGGACAGTCATAGTTAACTCAAAGTTCATAGCTATCTCCACTGTAAAGAAAAAAACAGTGGTAACTCTATTAAAACATATCTACTAATAGGCTTTAGGTGAACATTTTCTAAATGTTTTATTTAAGTCTATTTATAGTTTCTTAAGGTTTTCATTAATAAAACTTCCTAAGCAAGAAGATTGTCCTTTTCAGTATCTTACTTTTTCCCCCTATTCTCTTTTAACAGAATATGACCCACCAAGATATCTCTACCAAGGGTCTGATATTAATGGGCAGGTGGTGGAGTACACCGCTCTCTCGGGAGCAAACCGGATAAATGGGAATGCTCATGGATGCTTCCTGAGCAGTGGTGGTCTCAGCAATGGCTGCTCACATCTGCACCGGAAGATCGCAGGTGGGGTCAATGGCCTTGTGAATGCAAGCTTGAATGGAGGACTTTACTCTGGGCACACCAACTCTGTAACCAGGACACACATGGATTTTGAACATCCTCACCATCTGGTAAATGTAAGAGACCTAATTGTAAATGGAAGCCTCTCTGCCGCCCTCAGGGCACCAGTGCAGCAGAGGAAGGTTAGCAAGCTAGGGTGTTTCTGGCTGTCTCTTCTTTTTCTCTTTCTCTTTCTCTTTTGTTTTCTTTCTTTCTTTTTTTTCTTTTTTTTTGAGACAGAGTCTAACTCTGTCACCCTGGCTAGAGTGCCAAGGTGTCATAGCTCACAACAACCTGAAACTACTGGCCTCAAGTGGTCTCCCTGCCTCGCTCGGACTATGGGCACCCACCACAGTGGCCAACCATTTTTAGAGACAGGGTCTTACTCTTGTGTAGGCTGGTCTGAACTGGTGAGCTCAGGCTGTCCACCTGCCTTGACCTCCGAGAGTGCCGGGATTGCAAGTGTGAGCCACCTTGCCAGGCCTCAAACTGAGTTTTTTTATGATAGAAACCTCATAGGTGTACCTGACTGGAAATAGTACATATCACAGGTAGCTTCTTGATGCAGAGCAATCTTTGTAAGGTTTCTTTTGTTAGGTAATAGTTATATTTGTCAATTTAGTTTCTGCTGTTAAATTATTAACCCTTAAAGTTGGGACACCAGTAAAGAATAGACTAGAAGTTGTACTTGAGGTGAAATAGAAAGTCCATTAGGCATCATAGACCAGACCAGATTTGATTTGGATCAATTTGATTTATTTGGATCAGAGTCTGAAAACCCAACTGCCACGAAGAGTTAAGCGATGTGGACACAGAGCAGCAGTGGGCGTGGTGGCCACTCACAGCATGGCACTGTCCTTGGCCAGCACCCACCGTCTCTGCCACACAGGGATGGGGCTCCATGTTGCCAGGTGTTCTGACTCCTCAAAACATCTCTAAATCTAGATAAAATCTCCAGATTTTTACTGCTAGCACCTAATTCAAATTTTTGAGAGCAGTGTGAGGCCGTGCAGAACATCTCTGCAGGCTGCCCCGATGGTGACTTCTAACCTGCCATGAATTCCTTTTGTTTGTTTTGCTCAAGGTATTTTTCTGCCATGGCCTATAAGTTTTTGGATTTTACAATATTCTTTAGGCACAAGAAATGGTAAATCCTTGAGATTACCTTATTTCAGAGTTAATCAACTGATGCAGTTTAATGTTTGAAGTGGGCACAGAGGGAGCATGTTTAGGTTCATGCTGGTTAAGGGCTGTCTGCGCTAGGAGGCTGGGTGCACTTTGACATTACTTTTGATCAAATAGGTAATTTGGTTGATCAGAGTAAGCATTCATTTCATTTTTGTCATTGTTCTAATTACAGGTAAATTTGCAATAATCCACAGTGTACTATCATTTGAAGTTCAGGGATTTTTCTTCATCTTCAGCTTAATAGAGATAAATAATTAATTCTGGAGAACAAAGCTTTAGTATATATTTGTATCTTAAAGCTAGAAATCTAACAGCTTTTATGTGACCTAGTTTTATACGTTGTAGAAAAAAATATTTAATTTGCTTTAGTGCATCCCATTACCAAAAGAGAAGAATGATTTCATTATTTTGTGTGAAAAGACATGGCTTGTATTCAGACTTTCTAATTTTTTTGGTCACCATTCCTAGTCCAAGCTACTAACACTGTCCAAGAAAACTGAAGGACTGGTCATGAAAGGACTGTAATTTGAACAGCACGTGCTGTTTTCATGAGGAGAAAAAATAAGGCTAATGTTTGTTTTAGTATTTGAACACAAAACTTCATTTTCTTTTTTTAAACAATTGCCATTTTAGATTATAGTTGTATCATTAGGTCTAAAGCTTAGAAACTATCATCTGTGATCCTATTGCATTTACTTTTCTTACTCTTCTGGGTGGAGGAAATAGATTTAAAAAATGTTAGTCACCATAAAAATCACTGAATTGTCTTCACCAGGTCCACTGATTTGAGCGAGTGCACTACCCTGTAGGCCATTGCCTTCATCTTCTGAACCTGCAGGGTTTTCCATCATGGGCTGTGTGTATTTTTTCTCTCAATGTTTCCTTAATAATTCCTATTACTAGTTGGATCAGGAATCCTGAGGGGAATTTTCAGCAATTTTGGTTTGCTTAAATTCTGATGGTTGTTATGAGATGAAGGGAGATGGAAAGTATTCTAGGAAAAACAATGGCTGAACTTTTCCTAACCTTGAAGGCCTGCTTTGGGTTTGGATATGGTGTGATAACCTCTCTCACCCTTATCAAATTCAGTTCTACTGTTTGTTCATGTAAAACAGAATTTCGACTCTAGTAGGCTAGGTTAACTTTTAACTTCACTTTTTCAGAGTTTTTGCCATTGTGTATGTCAGAAGTGAACATTTTACAATGAGGTATGTGTTAATCTGGGCATTTTTCTTAATTGTTGGGCAGTTTCAGCCAAAAGCAACATCAAAATATTAATACACCTTGCCAAGTCATTACTGGCTGAGGATCTACCCCATCTGGAAAAATATAACATGTTTTAGAACTTGAGGTGTAGTCAGGTGAACAGAAACTGATCGAAATAATTACAGGAAAACGAAGATGAGTTTTTCATATGACATCATTCAGACTGATTTCACACCCTCTTGCTCCAACTGGAATCACATAAAAATCTCCCATGACTGCTAGAAAAGTCCAAATGAATAGGAGGTTATAATGTATTAGTGTATTTTGGGGCCGTTTAGATGTGAAACTAATTTGGGGCCCACTAGACTGGAAGGGAAGTTGACTGAACTTTTTCCCCCATGTATTTGCCTCTGTTCAACACAGAAATACATGGGGAACATGGCAGGTAAGTTTGGGAACACAGTTTAATACCATGCAGTGCCCTAATGAGTGTGTTTGTGAATGTGGACAAGTAATGGCCAGCATGGCGTTGCTCAGGAGTCGGTCACACAGCTTCTGGATTGTGATCGTCTGGCTGCTGTTTCGTCCATTTTCATCTTCTTTCCTCTCTTCTTTTCTCCTAACCCTCCTTCCCGTCAAGGGTGGTGGAGTGTGCATGGCAGTGCCTCCAATGGACCCCCTGGAGTGTGTGAGCTGTCGCAACTGTCGGAACAACAACAGGTAATGGTGATGTGTGTCTGTGAAGCTGCTGCAAACACAGCACATGTGCCCTTTTATTTTTCTTTCAGCAAAGGAAGTTCTTGAAATTTTACCTAAGATACAAAGCTCAGGATTTGCGATCTAAGTTTAAGGTGATATTAATTTTTTTCCCCTGCTTTATAATTTTTATCTTTTTGTGCCTTGGTTTCTTTAGCTTGTAGTGACAATATTAAAGACATCGTGTCTCACCATTAAAAGGTTTGATGTTTTTGAAAATTTTAAATTAGAGTCACTATATGTGGACTTTTGTCTTTGTTCACCTGTTATGTTCTACTCAACTTTATGGAGTATTATGAGGTTGAATGAGACCATGTCGAAGTGTTAGGGAGGGGAAAAAAAGGCTATGTATGTAGTAATATTTTTTTTGCAATCTTATTACTGAAATTTTCCTACCACATTATCCTTTTTTTTAATTCTTACAATTTTAAGATAATTAAGTGGCAAAACCTGTTTTTTTACTTTTGTTTTTGAATTTTAAAAGTGCTGATATATTTTTTCAAATAAGATAGAAATGTATAGCATATATGTGAATTAAATTTTAACAGATAAAATATTCAGAAAGCATTTGTATTACCACTATGTCTATTAATTCCAAGGGATTATCAGGCTTTTTGTTGCACAAAGTTGTATCAGACATCTCATTTCTTTCTTTTACATAATGATGATATTGGCTTGCACAGTCTCATATGTCCTCCATTCTAAAACTTTACTGCTAGGCCAAGTGTGGTGGTTCAGGTCTAAAATCCTAACACTTTGGGAGGCCAAGATGGGAGGCTTGCTTGAGGCCAGGAATTCAAGACCAACCTGAGCAACATAAGGTGTCTCTGTCTCTACAAAAAATTCAAAAATTAGCTCCCAGGGCGGCACCTATGGCTCAAGGAGTAGGGCGCTGGCCCCATATACCAGGGGTGGTAGTTTCGAGCCTATTCCTGGCCAAAACTGCAAAAAAAAAAAAAAAAAATTAGCCTTGGGTGGTGGGAACTTGTAGTCTTAACTACTTGGGAGACTGAAGCAGAAGGGTTGCTTGAGCCCAAGAGTTTGACACTGCTGTGAGCTACGACAACCCCACTGCACTCTAGCCCAGGCAGCAGAGAGAGGCTTTGTCTCAAAACGACGACGGCGAAAACAAACCAACCCCCCCAAAACCTCTACATCTAAAAATAATTGTATCCTAGTTAGTATGTAAAATAACTGGAGCATGGATTGGAGTTCAGGAGTTCAGATTTATTTCATTATTGAAATGGGGTTTGATCTGTATTTCTAAAATGACTTAAAAGGTTATGAGTTGTCTCTAGGAGTTACTGAAATTAGGACTTGGAGAGAGATCCAGTCAGCCATAGAATTAAAAGTGCATTCTTTCCGCCTGTGTTTGAAGAGTTGCACAACACAGGAGAGAGCTTCTTGGAGAGTTTTAGTTATCATTGACTTAGCCCATCTGAGACTTTGTTCTGTATTAGCAAGAACCATCTGCCTGTTTTTTGTACTGAGATTTGCTTGTTACATGTTTGAATTCTTTATGACTCTAGTTCTGAAAGTTTTCGTAACATTGAAGCTACATTTTTGTTCCAAGGTTGTCACAAATACGACCACAGTTTGTTAGGACACATGCTAAAGGACTGGTAAACACGGTTCATAGTCCTAGTAGTCAAGTGGGTTTAATTATGAGCAGTTTTGTCTAAATATGTAATGTGCATTTTCCTTTATGGTCCTTGTGGCCATCAGCAGATCTTGACACCCCCACCCCACCCAGATACTAGAATGGTATAAGAAGACTTTTGCTCTAAGAATGAGCAGACCTGGGCTTTGCCAGTGCTTAAACCTATGCTCTTGGGAAAGTTACACAATATCCCTCAAGCTATTTCCTTAATTGAAAAATAGAAGATTGTCCTAAGCAACATAAGATTACTCCTGACATAATCTGAGTATAGACTTTGGTAATTTTCTGCCATTCATGTCTTTATGTTGAGTACCAAAAATATATCCCATTTCTTTAAAAAGATTTAAATGACCTCTGCCATTCAACTGACCTTTTTCATTCCTGGCCATTTGTATATATGAGAAAATGTGTGGTATGTGGTGTTTGAAGGTTTTTACCATATGTAGCTTTTTCCTTTAAGACAGTGGACAATTGTATTTCTGTTAACTTTCAAGTTCATGACTTCCTGCATTTTATGTTTGCAAGTTTTACTGTTATCTGGGAATTTAGGTGAATTTTCTTTTCTTTCTTTTTTTTTTTTTTTGGCGATAGAGCCTCAAGTTGTCCCCCTGGGTAGAGTGCCGTGGCATCACAGCTCACAGCAACCTCCAACTCCTGGGCTCAAGCGAGTCTCCTGCCTCCACCTCCTGGGCTGGATTTGAACCCGCCACCTTAGGTGTATGTGGCTGGCACCTTAGCCACTTGAGCCACAGGCGCCAAGCCGTGAATTTTCTTAAGTTCAGGAAAATCAGCTTCTTTTTCTCCTTGGTTTAAATTTTCTTCCTGCAAATCTACTTGTTTAGGGCAAGTCTTTACTTAGGCTGAATTACTTCCAAGGTTATTCAGATGTCTCTCCTGGCACCCAGGAGCAATTGTGTGATTTTGGCACTTAATAATTGTACCGATAAATAACAGTAAATACATTCTTCCAACTTTGGAAAGTTGGAATCACTAATTTCAAGCTTTCAACTCTCTTAACTTTGAAACTAAGAGCAGGTATCTCCTCTCGAGGTCCTACAAAATGACTAAATTTGTAATAGCCTTGGAATGCTGAGAGGTAGAGAATATATGATTTACTCTAAAACTATGCAAAATTATAGACAGTTTGTACTTTCAGAATGTCAACATTATTAGTAGGAATAAGTTTGTGAGAATTTCCCAGGGTCAACTAAAATAGTATGAACATAGAAAGAGACATGATTTCAGTTAAGATACAGCCTGTCAGAGTTTACAGAGTTTTTGACTATTCAGTCAAAAAACATTTACTGAGCACTGGCCAGGCACTGTAATAGGTTCGGAGGTGTTTCCATGTAGAAGGAATTACAGGGACAGTTATAGAAGTAGGAAGGGAAATGTTTAGGAGTAAATAGTTGAAGTCAGTGGTTCTCCAACTTTAGTATGCATTTGAATTGTGTGGAATATCTGAAGGAACACAGATTGTGAGGCTGCACTCCAAGAGTTTCTGATTCAGCAGGTCAGGGTTGGGGCCTGAGAATTTGCATTTCTACTAAGTCTCAAACACTGCTGCTGCTGGTGATTCTGGGACCATGCTTTGAGAACTACTAGAATAATTTCACCAACTGGTGAAGTGCAGGTAGAGAATAGTAGGACATAAAACTGTAAAACTGGACCAAATTTTTATCGTGGATAACCCTGAATGTCAGGGCTTAGTAGTTTATTTAGTAAACATTTATTATTGAGCATCTACCATCCTAATCTTTGTGAAACTTTCTGAGAAGGGGAATGATCTGTTCAGAAATGTGTTTTGATGGGGCAAATGGTTATGGTGCACAGGTCGGAAGGGAGTGAAAAGACTGACATTGCTGGGACAATGACCTCAGGCTTCACACAGGAAATGAGGGTAGAGAGGAGGTGCTTGGCCACTGACTGGTAGGGATCTACAAAAGCAAAGCTCCAAATGCATAGAAAGTTTATAGGTGGGTGAGCCAGGTGGTGGTCATAGGAATGAGAAACTTAAGAAGATGATGCATAGGGAAAAGATGATGACTTTGGTTTGGGGCATTTAGAGTTCAAGTGCCAGTTGGTGTATAAGTCAAGGAGACAGATGAAAATGTTGATCCTGGGTTCAGGGGCAGACGGGGGAACTGTGACAGAGATTTAGGACCATTTGTATCTAAGCGATAGCAATTAATAATAGATGTAATCACCAAAGGAGATAAATGGCTGATTATTTTTATATGTTTAATTATTTGTGGTATTTGTTTGCTTTTATTTCTTACATGTTTAAAGTGATTAGCCTTTCTTTTATAAGATGTCATTTTTTGCTTCCTGCCTTGATGTATCTTTGAAGAATCATACAGATGGAGAAAGAATGGTAAAATAAGGAGAGTAAAAAAGAAAAAGGCTTCATTCATTCTCTCCTTCAGTAGGCACTGGGAGATCCAGAGTGGCCAAGCGTGGAGCAATTGCTGAGGGTGTAGCAGTGAGTGAGATAACCCCCTCCCCTGGTCCCATTTGTGTGGGGCTTACGGTATGATAGATAAGACATAACATTGTTAAAAATGACATAAATCATAAAAATGAGTATGGAGTTAAAACTGTTTGCTTTAAAGGAAAAGTAAAGGATGTTAGGAAAATCTCCCCAAGGAAGTGACATCTTGCTGATTTCTGAAGAATTTATAAAATTAAGTAAAAGGGAAGGGGATAGGTTTAAAGCTTTCCAGGTTTATTCAAAATCTGTAAAGCAGAATGCTCGAATCCTCAAAGGACTTAATGAAGGCTACTATAGCAGAAATCTGGGGAGTGAATGTGTCAGAGTTGAAAGGTGGGTGAAGTCAGATCAGACAGAGCCATGGCAAGTTCAGGGACCATTTTAAGCAGGTCAGCCTTGTGATAGAATTCAGGCTTTTAGGGACTGGATGCAGTTTGGAAAACAAATCAGATGGAGCACAAAAGGACACCAGGGAACCAGTCAGATGGCAGTGCAATCAGTCTTCCAGGTGAGAAATAGTGGACTGGGTTGGTTGTGGAGAGAGAAGTAGGTGACTTTGAGAGACTGAAAAAAAAAAAACACTAGTAATGGGCTGAAGAGGCCTGTGAAGGGAGGAGTCAAGGGTGGCATCTGGGTAACTGGGTGCCCACCCACACAGAATGAGGGAGCACTGACGGGGGAGAGGAGGTGTTGAGCCCTTGGTGTGTTTTGGGGGGCATCTTCTGAGATCCAGGGGTGCCTCAGTTGGCTGCTTCTCAACTGCGTCCTGATAACACAGGCCCTTTTCCTGGCCTCAGCTCATGCACTGTCCTG